GTCGCGTTCAGCTCTAGCGGTTATCAAGAACGCGACGCCATTAGACGCAATTGGAAAATCAACTGACAATCCTCTCGAGTGTTTGACCCTTGAACGTTGGATTTCGTAATTTCGAGCACAGAAGGGGAATACGTTTGTGTAATTACGTATCAGAATGCTACTGTTTGTGGAATTTTTTTATTTCCGTGAAGGCAATTAAAAAATAGAAGAAAATTATTTGAAATGTCCAAAGTGCAATAATTCTTGGTAATATTCAGTAAGAAACTTGATTTACATATCAAATATTGCAAGAAATATCATATAAATTTCTAAGAAGTGTCATATTTTGGATATTTTTTTAGTATATCATGTTCTACGTATATAGGTCGAATAATTATGAAATAAATATTATATAAATGTCCAAAGTGCAATAATTCTTAGCAATATTCAGTAAGGAACTTGACTTACATATCAAATATTGCAAGAAATATCATATAAGTTTCTAAGAAGTATCATATTTTTGATATTTTTTTAGTATATCATGTTGTACATATATAAGTCGAATAATTATGAAATAAATATTATATAAATGTCCAAAGTGCAATAATTCTTAGTAATATTCAGTAAGAAACTTGATTTACATATCAAATATTGCAAGAAATATCATATAAATTTCTAAGAAGTATCATATTTTGGATAATTTTTTAGTATATCATGTTCTACGTATATAAGTTGAATAAATGAAATAAATATTTGTTAATTTGTAAATTAATATCCTTTTGAGCGTAGCAACTTTAAAAAATTATGAAATCAAAAAGAAAAGGAAAAAATTTGAGTTAAATCTAATCCAACCTCCACTGTAAAATTACCCGTGAACGTTGATTTTATACATTGATCCTTCGCGTGAATTTTGTTTATACTCAACGTATCAACGTTTCCTAAAATTCCCCAAGTAGATACACACAGTCGAGCAACAATTTGACGGAAGATTGCAGCACAGCTATCATAAAGTGGCATTGAAATATTCGCGAGCATTCCGGAATTGCGAAACCGCGCGCCGAAATAGAATCGAATTTTACAGGAAAGCCATCACGCCGCTGTTAATCGCCGAATCAAACGGCGATAGATACGAAGCTCCAGATCCGACCTGGATCACCGATCGAAGCACTTGCTCGTACGTGGCCATGTGGTCTTCGATGTAATTTATACTCGTCTCTCGCCGTCCCATATACCGATTCTCTATCGCCCAAGTAACATCAGTCCCACGTACGGAGACTGGGAGCAATTTAACACGTATGATTCGTTATCGCCTTTGAATCTTCGGTAACTTCATCAACTGCTCGGACTAGGAAACACCCGGGGAAGGCACGCGCGTTTACAATATCCTTCGAACGATTATTTCCAGCTTTCTTATCGATGTCTGGCAAACAGAAATTACGTCTTTATTGTATTGTACGACGCGGAGAGGCGAGAAATAGAGAGGCGCCTTCTACGAACTAACATTGCAATTTTTCTCTCCGTCGCGCGTTTGATCAAAGTCGCGAATAAAACGGCGACGTTTACGAGACACGAATATTAATCGTATCTGTCACGCTGCAACTCGAGAGTTATAAATCTATGGGCAATCCTTTTACCAAGGTTTCCCTCCTTTTTTTTTAATTTTCAAAGGTCTCTCTCTCTCTCTCTCTCTCTAAAGGTCTGAGTCGTTGTTAGAAATTATTAATTTTGATTTATGCGTTTTATATTGCCGGACAACGGCGCGCCGCGGCGTGTGATAAAGTTTGAAAGATAATGGGGAGATTAATCGCGAGGAACGGACGATTAGCCAAATGGATACGTAACTTGGGAAAATGTATTAATCATTGGCTAAATCAATGTGAAGGGATCTCTGATACGTTCGCTATTAATCACGCGAATGGAGGTGGTAAAAGTAATTCCGTGTGAAATCTGAATCTTTGTTCCGAGACTACCAATTCCAAGATGTCTCTTCCAATGATATCGAGAAATTTCTCAACGCAGAATCGATACGTTTTAATGAACGTTTGTTACTTCTAGTTCGCAATCATTTGTACTGAATTCTCAATATTGGTGGAATAAGAATAGTATTATGTGAAATTTTCAATCAGAATGGAAATTATAAGTATTAAACTGTACGTTGGTAACAGAAAGGATTGACAACTCTATAACACTCGGTGTAGTTACTCGATACTTTAATTTACGACCTATTTATGTGCTAACTTTGCTATACCTATCTGTACTTTACGAGAACAGAATATATTTGCACACTATGTTACACGTGTAAGTATTTTTATGCGTTTTTTTAATTTGCGTCTCGCATTCCAATCAATATCGCACGCGTATTGTAAACGAACGCGACGACTTAGAGTTTGAGTCTTAAACTGTGTAAAATACAGTACACGTTGACTGTGTGAAATACAATAATTGCCATAGTTCGTTATTGTGCCTTATATCGCAACTCGAGAGCTCTGATCGCCGATCACACAACATTAAGCGATTAACATCACACGTCAACTGACGTGTAACAACCTCACTTACCAATATACTCTGTGAAACAACATTCTCCTAGCTAAATATCTAATAACGTGCAGTTGCCATTCTCTCGGAACACACGCCAGTTCATTAGAGAAATAATACTTGTTGAAAGTCAAGATTTATCAAGATAGGAATTGACACGAATCTCTCAGGAATCAAATAGATCAACTTTGTCAATTCTGTAAATTTCATTATTCAGATATATAGTTAACAGACTGCGGATCTTTATGCACTTAAGAGAGAAATTTAAAAATACTAAAATACAGCAAATGCTCACAAAATGTGAAAGATAAAATAGGAACGTTCTTTTGCATGGCTCTAACGTTAGACAAATAAATTGCAGCTTTTCACAGAAATTACATAAATTTCTTGATACATTGTAAATGATTTTCAAAATGATACGAATGAAAGCTCCTATTTTTTTCCTCCTAAAGTTACACATTTTTTTTCATACTTCCTCCGTTACTTGATTTTTTTTTTTTTTTTATTGTACGTTCATCGATCATCTCAATGCGAATGTAAACGAAGTAAAATCCTTTTACCATCCATCAATCTAACTTTTCCAAAAAATTTATTTCTCTCTCATCGATCTTCCAACAAATCAATACGAACAGAACATGGTCAGTCGTTTCGTTAACCCTGGACAAGCACGTACAATATAATCTACAGTAACATCTACAAACATAACCGTAATTCGATAGAGTTTGGAATGACCACTTTCGAACCGTTGGGATCGTTACGTCCGGATCGCCCACGAAGCGGTGCACGATTTCCGGTGCACCCGACGCGTCGCGATCCCGATTGCTGGACGACAGAATGCAGCTGGCTTTCGGACACTAGCGGAGGAACGCGACGTGGTTAAATTTACACCGTGACAGCCATAATTTCACGACGGTTCTACACGGTCCAAGCACGTGTCCCGTGGCGCGCGTGTTGTGACTTACTAATTCGCGTCACGGGCTCGTATTCGAAATCCACTTCGATTCGATCGCCGACCAGTGTTTGCACAGACGGCGCATTAAGTAGCCCACGTGTGCAAACAACATTTCTGCTTTCACTAATTGTTCCCTAAGAATAGTTTTGTTGAGTGACTAGCCGACTGCCGGCTATCTGGCCAGAGTCCTCGCGCAGAGACGTCTTCAGTTGCATGGGCGGACAAATGGATATGCATTCCAGCGGAACAAATCTCGCTTGATTGATGGCGCTCCATCGGATAAGCTACGACGATTTATTTAGCTTTCTGCGGCGTTGCTCGATTTTCCCCAAGTTCTGGCATGCTTCGGCCTTTCATTTTCAACTGGTATTCTTGGATCCAAGTGATTAGATCCGTATATTTGTGTGGAACAATCTTTATTGATAACAGAAGCAGCAGCATCTTTTCTAATGTTCTTGCAAAGAAGGTGTAACATGTTTAAATTCAGAAATTTTCTTTTTTTGTCGAAAGTACTTGTCAAAATACGAGGATTGAAGAGGACTAATTTTATATCTTTATTGAAATATTCTTCAATGAAAATCATTCATATTTATTGTAGAATACGAATAGATATTATCACAATTGTTTGAATTATTTTTCCCAATGAAAGTTTTAGGCAACTTTCTATTTCAGAAACAAAGAATGAAGGCTTTCCCTGGCTTCCAGAAAATATATTTTCTCTTTTCAGAAATATAGTTGACGAATAAGGGTGGCTTTCTCTGATGAATTGTATTTGTTCTGTGACTCAGTTAAAGAACTCTTTATAAAGTGTTTTTTATTATCCTCTAACTGTTGCCTTTCTATCGTATCTTTGCCGTCGTGTCAGAAGACGTTCGTTCAATATTTTATGTCGAGCATGGAAACAGCTCTGCTCGTAGAATTTATAGATAATGAAACTGCACTGAAACTTGTTTCGTGGGGGAAAGAAAAAACGAAAAGAAAAAAAAAAAGTATCGAGTTGAAAGTCATGGTACGAGCCCAGTCCGACAATAAAAGCCAAAGATATTTATCGTGATTACCACTATATTGCAACACGAGCAGTGTACCTGACAAAACGAGCGTAACGCTTTCCATTATTTTTGTTAGAGCATTCTGATTGCTTCCTCGCCGAGAGCGTGCAGACGTGTTATTACTTCCGCGTCATTTCTATCTCTGTTTCCGATTAAATTTGTTAGCTGTTGCATCAAAGTGCTGTTAAAAATAAAGTGAGATGAAATAACTATCGCGGACGCTTGCGTAATTAATAACTTTGTTGTCTAATTGAAGATTTTATTTTTTGCACATTTTGCGCAATCATAAAAATCTGTTTGGACTCGATGTCCAAAAATTTGAAAAAAAAAAATATCCAAACTTAATAGAAGTCACTAAGAGGAATAATTTCACTTGGAATGAATATTAAAAAAAATTCTTGTTCAAATACTCTTTCCTCTGTGACGTTTTTTTTTTTTCAATTAATGTTAACGTGGAATTAATTTCCATCTACTTGTGTTTGCAGTGGTTCTGGAGTTGTTGCGGCGGTCACTTGATCGACGGGATTTTCACGGAGCCGACCTTGGAACGGGGTTACAACTTGGTGGCCACGGTTCCTCGAGGTGCCGTTGTTCTGAACGTGACACAATTACGTCACACGGAGAATTATTTAGGTGAGAGACGTCGTACGTTCGCCACGCGTGACATCGCGCTGGCAGAAGTGCTCGTTCAATGTCCCTGTAACAAGGAGGGAATCATCGTGTACCACGAACTTAACGAGAGGATAAATCGTGATTTATATAAAACGCCCGGTGATTCGATAACAACGTCGTGAAAGTATCACACGCTGCGATAATAACACGACGAGGTGACAAAAGGATAATAAAGTAGAGTAAAGACGAAAGCGTGCACCGAGAGAAGAAACAATAAGAGAGAGAGAGGAGAAGATACGAAAGTTACACGGAATATTGGATCAGTACAGATCCCAATTGAAATCACGTTCACGTGCAACGAAATAAATTTAATGAAACGCGCCGGTAAGTCGCAAATCGTCGCGGCGATTGTTCGCGATCTTCCATCGCGAGGAATTTCACTCTATTCCAGAGGCGTTGCCGTGCTCTTGGCATCAACCCTCGCATAATCTAATCTCTGGACACGCGCGTTAAGTGGAACGTAAATGAAACGCAGTAGCCATTCACGTGATACACAATACGTGGTCGTAGCTTTTGTCCCTTGATTCGTTCTGACACACGGTGCTGAAGCAATCGCATGAACCGTCTGGTTTCCTGGCACTGATGCGAACCTGTTCGATGCTGTTGCATTGAAATCCTTCGCTGTAATACTCTTTACCTGCTCTGGTCGCGATTATATCGTAACTGTAGCCTGTCGTGTTTGAATATGGACGTCGATGAACTTTCGTCATTTTTTTATTCGTTGAACTTTTAGCTATATCAGTTGATATATCAGTGAGAATATATACGTTGTGATTTTTAACACTTTTATCTTTGAATTTTCGTCGTTCTTTAATTTATTCGAAAATTTATATGTATACGCATTGCGATTTTTAATATTAGATACGTGTAGTTGAACTTTGTCATTTTTTAACGTATTTAGAAAATTTATAGTGAAATTTGAAAGTGACTTGGATTGTTTAATTGTCAATTTTCTATTGTTTCGTTTGTCAAGTTCTTTCTTCTTATTGGAAAATGACGAGTGCTAGATGCTTTTTTCCTTTAAAAAGTCGCTTTTCAGACTTCCCTAATTGTGACTGAAAGCGTAAAAGTCAGCCGTCTCCAAAATCACGTCATAAATCGCACGGTTCAACGTTACGTTTTAAAGACGACATAGATACGTTTGATATAAAGCTTCATAGAATCTCAGGACAATTGACAATACCGTTAAGCACCTTATGCAAACAGCAGATCCAACATGAGCCTTCGTCGTTCGAGAGATGTGAAATTCAAACGAATCAGGCATAGAGAGGTATTTGTAGTGAAGAAACAATCCTTTATAGGAATGTTGCAAGGATTTAAGAAAACCCGAGTTAAATAGTTTTCTAAAAAAAAAAAAAAAAAAATAAAGAAAAAGAGAAGAACAAATAACAGTCTTACGTAAAGTTTGTAAAATGGTTAATAAATCTGTTAGAAAGGTCTTCCTTCTTCGCATTTCATATTTTCGTTTCTATTCGCATAGTTATTTGGCAACTTTCCTCTTTGAACATTCAAAACGTTCTTTGTTTTTAGCTTTCACGTGTTCGGCCTTGTGATCCACATGCGACGCGAACTATTGTATATAATTCGATTCGGTCGTAAAGTCGATCGTGAACCTGCGCAAGCTGTGATTCCTATTCAAACGATAGTCGCCAAGATCTTCACAGTAAGATTAAATCGGTCGTAAATCATCGAGAACGATTACGTAACTCGTATGAACTTTAAACGTGTAATTATTCTTCAGATCTCCCGGAGAAACGATCAGTTTGGTGTGAAATAACGCGAAACGAATCGAAAGTATAACAATGTGATTAATTACGTATTTATTACGATTCCTCGGCGTTTCGCATGCAGCTCGAAACAGGTTCGAACGTTTTTATTGGTCGTAAAACTCGGTCATTCCATGGTAAATATCTAATTACAAATACGTATCACGAACTAAGCCTCAAAATAGTCGAGGAGGAAATCTGGGTTAACAGAACAAGGTGTGGTTGGAAATTATATTTACAATTTAATTAATTCGATATAAAATCGAATTTAATACTAGACCTACGGATCTTCAATAAATATCTCAAAACATTCTATTTAATTTGCACGTTATAATTTAAATAAATTACGTCTAAACAGAGATCAGTATTAATTTTGAGAAGATCATTCGTACATTTTCGGCAATTGTGAAAAAAAAAAAGAATATTTGACGAATTTTAGTAGCACTAAAGGTATTAAAAACACTACAGCATTTGTCTGTTGTTGAAAGTTTCTACTACTATTCTGGTGAAGCAGATTACGTTGCTCGTTCAGGTTACGTAACTCTGGTTTCTAAAGCGAAGGCAATTTGTATTTACTGTTAATATCAAGTTAATGTTTCGTTTAATCAAGCCTGGAGGCAGTTGAAAGACAGCAGGCAGTGGATAACCAACATTCGCGTCATGTGAGTAGTAAATGACTCGTCTAGGTTCCTAATGCTACGTATCGCGCACGCTGCATCCACCAGCATTTCTCACATGCATACGCCGCGAATGACTGTCCGTTTCCGTTTCATTACCCGAACGATTACGCGATTTAGCTTCGGACATGACAATCTCGCGTGGTAATTATTAGCGGGATCAGCTGAATGTTAATGGCGTTTCAACGATTCCGTTCGTCTCGCTGAATTGGTTATTACGATCACTTTTGCGAAAATGATGATCAAAGCAGTTGATACTTTGCCAAGAAATCAATTTCAGCAGTCGGAGAGTCGAACATTATATTGAAAATTATATTAAACTTTTTTATATTAAACGTCTTACACACGTTTAATTTCTGATTAATGCAAAATATTTCTCAAACGTTACATTTGTCTGACTTAATGTTAACAGATGTGTTTGAACAATCGCTGTTAATTTTTGTCGTATAAATTTCACACCTATTATTATCCTCTGGTTTTAGCGGTCAAGTTGCAGGATGGCAGCTACTTGTTCAATGGAAATTATAGCATCAGCCTGTCCGGTAAATATCAGGCGGCTGGAACTACTTTCGTCTATCTTCGTCAAAGCTCGCAGAATTTGGAAAGTTTCTCCGCTATTGGCCCGTTAGAGGAGCCCATCGATGTTATGGTAAATAAATTGTTGCACTGGAAATATATTACTAATATACAGACCGATGACACTAACGTTCAACGTGAAAATATAAAAATTCCATCGATTTTCAAAACAGGTTCTCTACCAAGAGCCGAATCCCGGAATCGTATATCGATATATCATCCCCGGAAGCGCAAGCGCCTCTCCGAATACCCATCTTGGACACAAATCGAGTATAAAATTTTCTTTAAAAATGCATCAGAATTATTAGCAAATAAATTCTTGTCCTCCGTGTATAATAAAGTCACTATATAAAGAAATTCTATATTTCAGTTTCCAACAAAGCCGCTGAGCCCATTTTACCGACGATACCTCACAGGAAGTAAGAGCTCTTACTCAATTAACATTTCAATACGATTTTTCAACGCGACACTACATTTGCCATTAAAGAGTATTCATTATTCTTTAGAATAGACGAAGGAGCGCAGGCGTATGTCCCAAGGAGATACAAAAAGAGGAAATTCTTTTGGAAAGCCAGTGGTTACACCGAGTGTAGCAGAACTTGTGGCGGAGGTAGGAAGATTATTGTTACGAATTAATAATAATTTACATAACTATACATACATATATAGTGTATCGGAAACTAATAAGAAATATCTTTCGATCTCGTTGTTTATGAAAAAAAGGTGTTCAGATCCTGAGGTACGTGTGTACGCGAGAGCACACGCAGACACCAGTGCCTGAAAAAAGATGTCACGCGTTGGAAAAGCCACGGGAGATCCAAGTGAGATGCAACACTACACCTTGTCCTCCCAAGTGAGTGAGTCCTGGTTTTTTACTAAACCTTTCAAATTTTCATAAAAGAATATTCACGTTGCACGCGAAATTAGGAGAAATTAAGCTTTCAGATGCTAGTCAATTCAATGTGCATATGTGAGCAGCAGATAATTGTGCAAATGTACAATTTAATTAAATGTACAATCTAAATTCTTAGCTACGAGTTCGTTTTGTAAATTTTGGCATATTTAAATTTACTCTCACTCACACTGTTAAGCAGAATATGAAAGAAACTTTTAAATCTCAGTTGTGAACCTTCCTCGAGTAAAGTTGAGACCTGATGAACTTTCCACCGTGAAAATTTCAATGTTAAAGATGGAGAGCCGGCCCGTGGGGCGATTGTTCGGTAAGTTGCGGCAGTGGTGCACGCTTCAGAGACATAGAATGCGTGCAAGAAATAACGCCGTCGCTAGTTATGAGGATAGCCGATGGCGCCTGCATGGAGCCGAATATTCTTACTGCCACCGAGGCTTGCGAAATGCCACGTTGCGAATTCGACGTGAATGCAGTAACAACAACGACGACGACGACGACGACGACGACGACGACAACGTTACCGCCTCCGCAATGGAACGTGGGCACATGGTCTCCGGTACGTTTCTTCGGTCGTTTACATTTGCAATCTTTTGGAAAAGCCAAATCAATTTCAAAGACGGTCAAGCGAAAGAAAGTAAACGTGCGTCGTTATACAAGAATGAAACGAGTAGACGTGACTTGAGATACATTGAGGTGCATTTAATTTCTTCTTCTTTCAAAGTGCTCCACAACTTGCGGTCCGGGTAAAAGAACGCGAACTGCCACTTGCGTCACGCATGGACCTCCGTGTGATCTCGAAGCGAGGCCCGTTACTCAAGACGCCTGCGATTTGGGATCTTGCGCCACTAAATCAACGCAAACAAACGCCATTTCAACGAGACTACAAAGTCCACAGTGGCTGTACACTGAATGGTCTGAAGGGGTAGGAACTATTCTACTTTCGAAAGATCAGAAACTGTTATACGGGTTACAAACTATTTAAAATTTGAGGATACTTTATAATTCATCTCTCTCTCTATTTTTATATTTATCAGAGTTTGACAGGCTACAGTAAAATTGGGCGCTTGAATTTCTTTTCGTGCAGACACTATAATTCGTTCGTTAATGGCTGTTAATTAATAAATGGGAATAAAAAGATTTTTATGTGCGACGTAAAATATTTGGAGATGCAAATACAATGTTATACTATATAATGTTATACTATATTAATTTTATCAACAATATTAATTTCCGTGTACGTTAATACTCTCGGTGAATGCTGTAAATTTTTAAAATTTTACTTCATCTCTCTAAAGAAAGGAAACATTTGAAATACGTTCTTTACCAATTTGTATAGTGCACGGCCGAATGTGGAGTCGGCATGCAAACAAGGAGAGTCTTCTGCGAGAAAGGTCCGGAGGGAGGATTTTGCGACCAATCGACAAGACCAGAAACTTCAAGAACCTGTTCCAGCAACAGAACATGCAGCGGACAATGGTTTACGGGACCGTGGACCGCGGTAGGTTCGAATAACATAAAACGAGAAAATAATCTAATCCAATTAAGTAGGCTACTCAAGTTGTTGTAAAGATTTCTATCTTCAGACAAGTTAACACGTTAGAATTTCTCTGTCGCAAATTTCGAAATTCGAATGGCAAATGCTAATTTAAAATTCAAATTCACGAACGAAAATCTAGATCCTGGACAGTAATCTTGCATAATATATCGTATGAATATTTCTATTTTATCAGTGTTCCACGGAATGCGATTCAGGGGAGCAAGTAAGAGAAGTGGTATGCATAACGATACTTCGTGGATCTCTCCGCGTTGTACTGGACATGAATTGTCCAGCAAACAAACCGGAAACGAGACGATCTTGCAGTGGTGCACCTTGCGGATCTTCGTGGTTTATATCAGACTGGACAGAAGTAATTTCAATTATGTATATAACGAAGGAGAAGAAAAATTCTTTGCTAAAAATATATTCTTATATTGTTTAAGAGAAATATTCCAAACTGTCATTTTTAATTTTTTGATCGAAAGTCCTGGGATTTTTTTCTTTCATTTTCAATGCTCAGTATTTATAGCAAGTGACAAAAATTAGCTTAGATAAAATAATTTTTAAACTGCACGCTCACACCTAAGACTTTTAAGGGAGGGTCAAATTTTTCTTTCACAGTAATTTAAAGAAATGACGTACCTATGTAGAACGTAAAGTTGTAAAATTCGCAATTCAATAATGCAAGTTTATTTTCTGCGTACTTTAGTGTTCCCGGTCCTGCGGGAAAGGCATTCAAAAGAGAGAAGTGAGGTGTTTGAACAATGAAGGCCAGTCACCGGAGCACCACGAGTTGCACTGCAGGGACAAGGATCGTCCTATATCTCGGCGAACCTGCAACGATTATCCTTGCAAGGACGACATGCACAGATCCGAAAATCATCATACTGTCCTGCAAGTTCAGAACGATCCAGAGATCTCGAATGGTATCATCACGGTTTTATCACAGTGCTCTTCACGATTCTACGGCCATTACGCTTCAACTCTTATTTTCGTTTTATTTTCAGTTCTCGAGGAAAATCCACTGTGCAAGGACGGTACGACAAATTGCAATCTAGTGGCGCAAGCTCGGCTATGCGCGTACCAGTTTTATCAGCAGCTGTGTTGCCAGTCGTGTTCCAGAGCGAAGCAAGAAGTTGAATGATCGCCAAACGTGTCGCTGAATGGAAATTTAACGGTTCGATGAACGATTTAGAGTCAGAAATCGGATCGATGTTATACGTGTCGCATGTAGACTTACTCACCCCTGCACTGCCTGATGGAATTTTTAATATCGAGTTTAGAATCGTATAGAAATGACACCTGACACTCGAAACAAAACGCATCGTTGTTCTAGAGATATTATAATTTATATGATTCGTCGACGTGCTAAGCTTTTGTAACGAGTAATAAATTATAACATTCGCAATAACGTTCTCCAATGTTTAAGGAGTGGATTATTTATCGAATTACGCGTATAGCTTTAATTTTAATATCATAGAAATGACGGTATTAACGAGTATATATTATTATTTATGATTAGTCTGTCTCTGTGAAAATCGTCCGATAGTTGTAGAGACGTTATTCGAGCTTTCTGTTTAGCACCTTGAACGTTCGACGAAGATTGACTTACGAGAATCGAGATCATCGGCGAGAAATTATAGACTGATCGCGTGAATTCTAACAATGCAACATTTAATTGGCATTTAATTTGTATTATTTTTCATGAACCTTATATCTGCCATAATAAAGTTTAACGCTTCCCACATTTTCCTTTTTATTTTTTCTTGTTTATTTCAATCGGCATTTCCCGATATCATTAATATTTCTAATAGCTACAGAGTTTTGCTCTGCAAGAGCAAAAATCTCACGATACAGAAAGAGACAGTCACGTCAACGAAAATAGAAATTATTATTAAACAAACCACATCAAACGAAAAGACCAACGTAATAATATTTACATTACGATTACAAACTATTAGCTACGCCTGTTACACTCTAACGATATAATAAATTATATATACACGCTTAACATTTGGAATCGCGACGGCAGTGATTAACGAGAAAAGCTAAAACCATTGACACGAGCGTGTCCATCGTCCTCTAAATGTCATCTTCCGCCAAAAAGGTTCTGTTCAATCCATTAAGATCGATCGACGAATAATCTGAACTTATCAGTAAGTTAATTAAAAGCAGCTGGACACGAGAATAAATAAGTTAATTTTAAATAATCCGACGCTTAATGGATCGAAGGAACCTAAATTGGCGGTCGCGAAACGAAGTGTCAATACTAATGAAATAAAACTACCTAAGAGCAAGGATTCAGTTCCGTTGTGGCGAGGCATTCTACGTCTATTCTGAGCTTTTTGCGCTCTCTTGGGCAACGGTTGTACTATTGTCGTGATTTTTGTACGCCGAGAAGAACGCCAGAGCTTTCATCAGCTGGTAGCTCTTGCTAATTGGAATATTGCTATCGTACAAGCTTCTCGATGCTTTGCAGTCCACGTAGAACCACCAGTTACACTTGAGTATCGTCTGGTCGAACAACGTCGATTCCGGGCAGAGGAAACTCTTCATGATCAGGCCGTCGTCTGTCAGTGCGCAGACGTGAAACACCTAGAATCGTTCGCCGAGGAACACAATATTAATAGAAATTAATCTTCAACAATATTCAAGAGAATTAATGTACAAATTATTTGGTTGCACGTGGGTAACAATGATATTTTACCATGCATCCAAGATCTTCGTCGGCGTAGAGGCCCGGAAAATGTTTCTGGTCGCCGCAGTAGAAGCTTGTGTCTGGGAGATCGACACGACTGGCGAAGTTGTCGTCGAAATTCTTGTCGTAGCCCATCGGATAATATTCACGAGGCGCGTTCATTACTTTGGTGACACCGGAATTATATTTACTAAGAAGATAATTGTATAAATATTATTTCGGACAAGCCTATGTCGACTAAACGCTTGAAGTTTTATCGAGTTTCGAGATAAGTTGCAATACTGCAGCTAATGAAAAATAGAGACAATTTTAATCTTACTTTCTATGCGGAGACACAGTTGTGGTCGTCGTGGTACTGGTACTGGTCGGCCCTTGCTGTTTCCGTAAAAGTTGCTGCTGCCTGAGAAGAATGGCGGCTTCCAGTGCTTCCAGAGTGATGTTGCTGGCCTCTGCCAAAGCTTTCAACGACGTCTCCATTCCTTGAATAGGCGTCAAGGACGGTAACGATGACGCTGGTTGCCGTTTGTCCGTCTGTTGCTGCTGAGACGTGGATTCAGACGATTGAAGCGAAAGCAATGTCATCTCGTTGACCGACGAAGCAGCCTCGTCTCCGGGCAACGGAAGCTAAAAATAAAATCCGATGAAATTCAGAATGAAATTATTGGAAGGCAGGAAGATTTTATTCTACCTGATTGGTGTCGTCTTTCGATACTTCATTGTCAGAATCCTCCAAAATAGAAGGGCTATTGCTAATTCGATCGGTTAGCTGCGCGGACGACTGTGGCATTGAGATGAAGGGTGGCAGACCATCACTCGAGGACGTTGGTTTTGAGGAGGATTCCACGATGCTGTCAGCTGGTGGAATCGCAGCAACAATGTTCGGTAATTTTCCTGGCATTGCCGCGGCAACTGCGAGCAACTGCGGTGTCTGTCGAAGACATCTTACAATGTTACTGGATTGCAAATTCATTAAAAATATGTCAATAACTATTTTAACGATTTAACACCTTATTGAATATATGTACGTTCCAATATTCCGTGTCATATATTAATGTATAATAATTTGTGAATGATACTACAGGCGTCTCATTAGTTTATTTAATTTAATCAAAGAGAATACAATTTATATATTTTAAGAAAATTAAATTTACATTACATTCAATTTATGTATCTTAATAAAATTCATAAAATATGTTATAGAATTTTACCCATAAATATACGCAATATACGTATATTTCTAGATGTAATAGAGAATAAAACTATACTAAAGAATAAAAACAGGGAAAATGAATAAATTATTGGATTTTATTACCTGATCTCTTTTAACTTGCATCGGCACTATCTGTTGATGCCTCTTCTGTTGCTGCGCCACCATCTGCTGTTGCGCCATTATTTGCTGCTGTTTCTGAAGTTTCTGCAGCTGTTGCTGCCTCATAGCTTCCTGCTGTTGTAACCTCTGTTGCTTCAGCACCTGCAACGCGAAAGCTTCCTGCTGGAGTTTCAATTGTTGCTTCTGCTTCGCTTCCTGGTGCATCAGCTGCTGTTGCCTTAGTAAATCTTGCTGTGCTGCTGAGAATGAAGGAGCGGGCACGGTTCGCAGAGCTGTGGAATTTTGTTGTACAACCAACTTTTGACGTTCCGGTTGCTGAGCTATCGGCCGTGTTGCTCCAGCTGGCAAAGGTTTGAAGGGAGGCACCACTTGTCGAGTGTTCTGCCTGACTTCATCTCGATTGGTAGCCTGAGAAGAATGATCGCGTGTCGGTAAATAGAAAACAGCAAAAACAAATTACATATAATTTGCAATTTACTAATTAATGAGTAATTATACATTTCGAAGTCCGTGTAAACGGATATTAAACATTTCTCAGTCAGAATTGCACGATTTAATTTACAAATGAATTTCTTTATACGCACGTTTGTAATGGATATTTTAGAAAATTAGATTGTTAGATATTTTAGAAAATTGAATACTTACGTTATTTCATAAAATCCGCAATACTACGGAATTAAATTTATTAAATTATGTTGTAAGAAAAATAGGCGACGCATTTGTAGGGAGTCATTAATTTCGCAATTTAAGCAGAACTATTACTAAGAATCGAACATATATTGATTTATAGTGGCAATCCGATTAATTTGTAACATATTAGCGTTGAAGCATAAAAGGCATTCTACAGCCTTGTTCTACTTCGTCCATCTTTTTCCTTCAGATTCCAACAGAAGCCAATGTGCTCTTCATATTGCATTGAGAACGCGAACCTTGCACTAGGCCGTGCTATTGTTGTATGTAGAAAGCTATACGTGAGGCGTCTTATCGACATTCATGCACTAATTACGACAAGGTTGATCAGGATTGTTAGAATAGTGAGAAACACACCCATCTGATATTTTGCGAATTCCACAAGTGCAAGTAAAGAGAAAAAATGAAATATGAATTTTCAATAATCAACAGTAATAATTGATTAATCCAGTTTGATATTAACAAATAAAAAAAATCTTGATAATAAGATATTTCTAAAGATTTAAAATAACGGATGACAATTATAAAACATTTAATTTGAAAAATGAAAAGAGGTCTTCAGAATTTCTTTCCCACGCAATATTGAAAGAAATCCGAAATCTTTATATTTCACTTAACCATTCGAATAATAAAGCTATTCACTTTCACGTATAAATCTGATAAAAATCTACGACTAAATATAGTTGGTTAAATATAATTGCATAAGAGGAAAAGTAAATTTAATTGAAATGCATGCAATTAATGCGGCAAAAAAAGGAAAGCAAAAAGAATATTGTTACAATGTTTTCAACATTTTGCTGTTCACCTCAGACTTTCCTTGAACTAGTTTGAACCTCGGGATCGTATTTGCATAACCGTATGTAATAAAAAAAAATCAATTTAATACTAAGTAGTCGGATTAATTGGAATATTATCTATCCAGAGAATTCAACGACTAACGATTTACATAAATAAACAACACTTTTAAAACCCTTACCGAACTGATATAGGACGATGAACCGACTCTGTTAGTCTGCACGCTTCTTCTTTTGGCAGCCTCCAAGTTGGATAAGGACTGAGAAAATCCAAGTTCGTCGCCCACGGAAAATCCTGAAGTTAATTAACAATATTAATCACTAAGTATTCTACAGCTGGCTTGATTTTTCAGTAATTAAATCCTTATATCACTTGTTGATAGTCTACAAAATTTACTTAATTTTTGTTTGTTGGTATTTTTCATTCAATTTCAGTGAATTCTAATCCTTATCTAATCATACAACTTCGTTGTACTTCAGAAACGAATAAATCATTACTTTTAATAAATTTTTTTAAATGAAATAAATTATTGCTTTAAAATATTCTTCAAAAACTTCCAATTACATAAAATTCATGATATAAAGACGAGACATTAGATCATTCAGAAGATTCAATAGTACTCAGGATGAACAAACTGTAGAAAGTTAAGTAACCACTTGTTACACAAGAACCTAGACATAATTCCTTTGCTTTTGTTTTACAAATGTACCGTGTGTTTTCACAATTCCTTTAATCCTTCAGTCGGTGGATTCCAATGCAAATTATGTTTCCATTACATGTGTCATCCTTTACAACACGTCTTCAGCATCTGGCTCGCGTTGAGTTAGGGCGATGAATAATGCATCGTATATTAAAACTTTTTTTTTCCGCGAGTATATATATTCATACGCGTCAAAAAATTAGACAAGTAGGTCAGAAGAATTTTTCTTGCTCGAAGAGTCACCAATCATTTCACGAGTGTTCCATGCGATTAACTGTAGTCATTCAGTCGTGGTAATTCACTTTCTGCATTTCAACGAAGGAAATAAGTTTCTTCTTTTTAACCATCTTTTAAATTTCGCAAAAACCTTTTAAGCCAATGATATTAATTCAAATATCATAATAATTCAAATTCTTAAGCCAATGATATTAATAATTCAATATAAATAATTCATAATAATTCATAATAATTCAATTTTTTAAGCCAATGATATTAATTCAAATATCATAATAATTTAAATTTTTAAGCCAATGATATTAGAACAAAATCTGAGAATTTTAGCACCACGAGCTGAATTGTATTTATGAAATAGAAATTTCTGAAATGATTGTAAATATTTTTAGAAATAAGTAACGAAACTCGAAGATTTTTACACCAAAAGTTTTACTGTTTAGTAAAAATGAATCAAAGTTTGGAGAAGAAATGAAAGAAGAGATAAAAGAAGAGATGAGACTAAACATCCGGGGCCTTAATGCTTCACCGGGTTCTGAATTGAGATTTACATTTATGGATGCAACGAAAGAAGAAAAGGATGCCGCAAACTTCGTAAAATCATTTACATCTATTCTCTGTCGCGTAGAGTGGGTCGCTTGCACAATGAACAGCTACGAAGAATATCGCATAAATCGTTCAATTCTTTTTTTTCCTTTTTCAATAGCGTGTTGTTGTTTCTATGTTTCGTAGAATCAGGTCAGCAAATAGTAATGGAAAGTATGTTGTTAACAAATCGTTTAAGAAAGTGTAATAACCAACTACGCTGATCGATCATTGTCAGAAAAAATCATAGCAAGTGACAGCGAAACCCATCGGAAACGTGTTACTGGCTGAAAAAAGAATCGTTAAACTGTATCTTGTCATATTTGAAGCGTTCGTTCTCTGATAAAAATGAAGCAACAAAAAAAGAAGCGATAAAGCAGTGATACTTTCTCTTTTTACATGCTGTTCCAGTAACATTCCAAGATATAATATTGTAGTATGCAAGGGAGTGTGCTAAACAGTGCTCCTAACTTTTTCAGAGAAGAGAAAACAAGAAACGAGTGTTATATAAAAATATTGCAAATGCTTCTTTTTTTATAAAGTCACGAGCAAATATTGAACGTAGAGTAAAATACAGATGAAAACGTCGAATATATTAGAATAGTTAATTGTGAGAAACAGACGTTGCAATACTACAGGTTTATTAATAGTGATTATTTAAATTCTTACTTCGTTCAATATTTGCTTAAATTAATACTTTTGCAGTTCATTCAGAAAAGTTCTAGATAGACTGTACAGTATCATGCTGTATTAAAATTATGGTTAATAATGTACAAACGTATTTACAAATATATTTATAAGTTGATTAATTACAAAATGATGATTGAACGTTGTTTCAAGAGAGTGATCGTGTACATCGAATTCTTGTTACTTGGATTGGGTTTCATAAAGCAATTCTTTCGCGAAAAGTGTTTCTTCGACCGTTTGTTTCCACTCACCCAGGCCGACGTAACCTTTGACACCTCCGAGATTTCTTACTCGAAAAAGTCCGGACTTGCGGAAGGCACAGTTAAGCACGAAACCAAAGTCCGATTGAAACACGCATGTCCCTAGTATCTCTCGCCACGTGCATCCTGCAACCAAACCGGAAGAGAAGAGAACACTTATGGATCCCTGTCCCGATCCAATCGGTCAGCCTCTGGTCCCACGTAGTATTGTAATTCATTCCGATCAAATTTTTGTCTGTCTCTATGCTTGATCAAATAAAAATCACAAAGGAACAATTTCCAACTTTCCACTCATGTTAATTTTTCATCGTTGGTTGCTTCGAGAAGTGTTAGAAATATTTTGTAGTTATGTTACTTATATTTATGTGTTTTTTCTTTTTTAATTAAAACTTCAAACGACAAATTTTGATAGAAAAAGTGACAAATTTACGATACGACTGGTACTGGCTACGTTTTTAGAATTGACATGGATATATGCTCAGAGAAAGTCAAACTTTTTAAACTCTTCTTTCAGTTGATGTCGAAACTCCATTACGATGGAAAGTCATTTTTTTTTTTTCACAGCTGTCATCAATCTCGACTGATCGAGTCGGCAACGCGAGGATCGAAACAGGATTTCCATAAACGCTGACTCGGGGGCCGTTGTTCCATAATTCCTACTCTGTGCTATTGATCCTTGTCCGTGAACGTTCGAGTATGTGAATGATCGAGCGTGATGAAAGTATGATGGTCTGATCTCACCGGTACGATGATCCTGATCGCAATTGAAAACGAGTGAAATTCCGTCGCACGACGTTCGATTTTCGTTGAACAATATTTTCAGTTCTGTATTTTTATGAAATGAAAAAGATCCAACAGTGGATTAAGATACTGTCTTCAGTAGAAAATAGAACAAATTAGATACAATGTACATTTGGTTTGATTAAAGTTTCGCCTTACAATTTCGTGAAGGCAATTTCAGTAGAATCAGTGATTAAGTGTTACAAATTCTGGTCACTGTATATTACAGTTGCATCAGTTCATCATCAAGTCTTCCAATTTCTCTGACAAGATGACACAATCATTGAGAATAATGACTTTCCCACAGTGAAGAAACAAGATCTTCCTATATTTGCGGTTTCTTAAAGTATGTTAGAAAAACCACACGCAGGCGTCTATGAAAGTTCAAACACGAATCAACATGTGCACATTTCGAAACGTGTAAATTGTAGTACTGTATAATTAGTAAAAAAAAATTAACATTCCTTTATTTTCTGCAAATATTGGTTCCTTAGCTTTAAAGAAAGTTCCTAGTTAAAAAAAGGAATTCCTTGGAGAATTTAAAATTTCATTTGAAAAATTATATTAATGCTAGAGCAATTGACGACTAAAATAACAAAATTGTCTCGGAGAAATTGGAGCGCAAGGAATATAATAAGAAACTTTTATTTGAAAATCATTCAAATCTGTAAAAACGCGACAGTGTAAATCTCCAAAAAGTTATAAGTTGATCATTTTGATCAATTTGGAAGTTCTAGTGTTAAATAGAATATTAATCGGAAAGTCAATCGTTGAAAAATAGTGAATTTTTTAGAATAATACCGAAAATTTACTTTTTGTTACCAAATGGAAGAAAAGCTCGTTAAATTAAAAAAACTAACCACTGTCGATGGAATTAAGGAATTTTATGAAATTGTACGAAGTCATTATTTTTAATTTAACAACCCTAGAAGCCTCTCATTTGATAAGTGAAAGCAACGAAGAGAAATTAATCGCTATTGGCAGAGTTAAATAAGTTTTTCGGAATATTTAAAGATTATACTATAACTTTCCAAGGAATGTCCCAAAGTTTGTGAAACGTACTTCCGGAACTCGTGTTGAAGATTTGCCGGATCTCAGGCACGCCATTGGGCCACAGCCTACTGACCCACTTGAAAAGTCGAGTCAACCTTTCGACCACGCGAGCGACCAGGTCAGTTCCTCATACTTAAAAATCAGTTTCGTGACCCAAGAATATCGTGTACGTTTTTGAAATGAAACGAAAAAAAGAAATTTCGACAGTTGCACAGAATGATTTAACTACTCAACTACTTCATTTCCACTTGATAATATAGCTGCTCTTTTATTTTACTTTGACAAACTCTCTCCACATCAGCAGCAATTAATTTTTTGTTACCTTACTGTTATTTCATCGACTGCGTGAAGTTACACAATGACAAACTGTTAGGTTGAAATAATCGATTAAATGGTCAGTGCTGGCAAAAAAAGTAAAAGGTTGCTTTTAGAATTTAAGGTAAATGCTTTGGCAAGAATTAATTATGATTTATGAATAGTAAAATTCGGCATCTGAATATTCCAACTGTGAAACTGCAAAATACCAGATGCAAATTTATATTCTTAATACTTGTAAGTTTCACGAACACATTTATTCTCTTTCTATATCCTTCACCTATATATTTGTCATGTTCCTAGTTGATAGAAACTTGCCGCGTTTAATATTCTACGTTCTATACAATGTTTCATAATAACTGGAAAGATCGGCGATTAGAGGATTTCGTATGATCTGAAAAACTGACGAAATTCGTCGAACATATTCAAAGAAATGCAAATGATAATTCGTTACGGAATAGCCAAATTGTCAAGTTATATGACGAGGAGAATTTCCTGTAAAATTTATGTCATGTGCATAGAAACACAGTGAAATTTCAAACGAGAAAGCTCAAAGTACAAAGTACTTTACGTTCAACGGTAGAATAATTTCTGCGTACTACTTTAAATTAATGTAATATTCAAACGGAAGATATTGATTGAAATGAAATTAAATAAAGCGTATTAGCCGTGCAAAAATATTGGCGTCTCGTGAAAACCGAGGAAGAGAAGATAATTATGCATTAGAAATTTTGTTTACCATGTCACTGGTGTCTTATTTCTGCCTGGTGAATTAGACGTATCCCGATTTCCTCAAAAATCTCATGTGTAATATACGGTTTGCGTGCACGTCAATCAATTCACTAAAACGTCAGGTACAAAACAAACGAGAAAATTTACTGATCATCAGAGGTAATTTCCTTCATTGGACAAATAAATAATTTCACCGCGTCGATCAATCATTATAAATATACGCTAAAACGATCTACGATTGCACACTTCATTTATTCACGAAACTTGTCTCGTGTCACGCGTCTCGTTGAAATCTACTCTACGTAAAAAATTCTCGTTCGTTTAGATTTTCGTTCGTTTGAAAGCGTCTTTCGTTTCGATGAGACGAAATCTGAAAAACCTGGGCCAGTTCTAGATTCTAATCGTCTGTCGTGAACGAGAGCGATGACTCTGTTGTTAAAAATCTCAAGGATACTTTCACTGTTCGCTGTTCGAGATCGACCCTCGCGACATAATTGTACGCACAAAAGCGTTTTCGTATGAATGGGAGGTAAAAATTCACTTTTCTTTGTCCGGCGACTCTTCCTGATCAACATAAGAAGAAGGAACGTAACGATGCTCGTTGAAACCTGCGCAACACTTTCCCACGAGCGTGGCCTTTACCTTTACCTTGAGAGCGCCGCTCTTTCCGAGTCGCTTCTCCTCGTTTTACGGTTCACCAATCGTCTCCAATTTTCTTTTGTTACGAAATCCCGATAACATTCGCGTTTCCACGCGAAGAAACGAAATCGTGAAATCTTGAGATGGAAAGTCACGCGATCACGATCTTTCCTATTTTTCCTTTGCCGCTCAGATTCAGTTTCTAAATTAACTGCGAATTTCGAAATTCTGTGAACTGTCTTTTTCATAATTTTCGATTTGAAAAATTGACTTTTGAGCAATATAATAACGTGGATATGGACGAAGATTGTTTTAGTCGAAGTGCTAGAATGGAACCGTGTGCGGTTTAGAGCCACGTAGAAAGTGACCAGTCACAAATAAAATGTTCACATAGACCCGTTGCTGACCCGATTCCCCAAATAACATAGCTGTCGAAAACTCAGTGAAAACGTTATTGGATTCAGATGATACATCATGCCACAGGATCCGTGCTGGACATCGTTTTGAAAGTTGTATCTTTAAGTGGTTTCATTTGGTCAAGCGATCGCGATTAAACGATATAAATAACGATATAAACTGTGAAATAAGAAAACAGGGAACGAGAGAAATGTAAATTTTATGCCAAGTACGGTGAAAGAGTTGTAAGTATTAAAATAACAATTTCTCTTGATATTAATTGAAATTTAATTTTAATTTTAATTTTAAAACATTAAAAAAAAAAATTAAAATAATAATTTCTTCCTTGTAACTAAATTGACATGTATATTTTATCGTTTGTTTTTCTCTACGAAATTAAAATTTCTAATTTACAAAATGGAACCATCACGGAAGATTGTTTCATCTAAATATTACAGAAATGAAATATTCTGTTACATACCATTACTTTAAAATTTCGCATGAAAATCCACAGTCTAATAATAACATACACGTAACTTCCTTCCTTCTTTTTCCTTTTTTTTTTATCATTCAGCTAATTATCGCAACGTGAAAGTTATTCTTTCGCTAAATACATGGAGAAAGTATCTCTTTTGAGATCGTCGTGGCGTATTACGCGCTGCGTTCGAATTGACACGATAATGACGAACGAGTTACACGCCGCCATCGAAAAAAAACTGCTATCGTAACTAGGAGCAAGAGTTTCCACGACCTATATACATGTATATCTCTGTTATATCTTCGAGTATTACATCGAGGATATAACATTGTTCGAACGGGACGAAAATATGTAATTACCGGCGTGACGTGCGCTACTCGTTCGATTTCAATCCCCTTTCACGATCTACGTCCGTAATTATCCAGTTGCAATTGCTTACTTTCGTCGCTAGCTCGTTCTGTTTCTCCTCCGTTCATATTTTCAGCAACAAACGACTGCCGTTTATGCACTTTCTAATTCTCGCCGATGCGTCCGATCGACTTTACGTCGTTGTTTTTTCTGCTCAGTGATTCCGTTCTCGTCGGGACGTCGGGCATTTCAATGCGTCGCTGCTCCATTTGCACTGGTTTCGCGAGAAACGATCGTTGCTTGTCACCGTGAATGCAAATCTGACTGCGAGAGGAATGCATTTTACATTTTGAGCGTTAGAATGTGCATACGCTCTTGTTCAAAAAGTTTCAAGACCTTTACGTTTAATATTCCTCAAGATTTTTATGTTTAATATTCGGCATTTATGGCGGACAATCAAATTTTTAAACTGTACATTGCACAATTGCATGTTTGCAAAATTTAAAAATCGTTGCGCGTTAACGCTTCAACGATTCTTTTGTTTCTTTTTTCCAACTTTGAAACGACCGTAAAAACAAAGTTTGAACTTTAAAGAGATTCTTCCACCTTTGCGCATAAGAATCCGCAGTTGGTCGATAATTACAAATAAATGGCACATTTGTAATCATAGCGTTGATTTACGAGTTAATTTAATTAAAAAAAAGAGTTAATTCTAGTTTCTACGTATTCGCAATTCTGATTGCCACAGTTTATAGACGAGATCATTCTCAATGGCCAGTTATATGTTATTTCGTAACGTATTTACATAATTATGTACAGTTTCGAGATATATGATTTTTACGACAGCTTATATAATTAATTACCAATTCACTTATTTCTTTATCGCATAAAATGCGAGACGTGACGAAAGAAAGAATTTTAATACCGATGGGAGATTTCAATCTCAAATGAGTACTGAATAAAATGATAGGTTAGATCGTAGGAAAAATGTTCGAATCTTTCATATTGAATTTCATTCTGTAACACTGTAACGCTGTGGTGTAACGTAAAACACGCATTCGGTCACGCTTAAGTCGTCAGGAAGAAAACCGTAAAATGAATGAAAATTACTTCTCTCGAGCCACGAGGAGTCATGGCAGGAAGATAAGCGCGATCGAGAACGCAACGCTTTCCGCGCTTTTCCGTACAGAATCGTATTTACAGAGATCTCTGCACTACGAAGTCTTGGAAACGAGAATGCAGCGTTTACTCTGTACGAGTAACCGTTGTACCAATTAGTAATTTGCAAATGAAAGACCGATTATTTCGAAGATCGAGCAAAGAAGTCTAGTAATAGCGATAAGATCGAGTGATAGAGAAGTTCAAGTAGCGAGAATTGAATGAACAAGTGCAGTCAGTGAAGATAGGTCGAGGCTCGATAGCACAGAGCATAAAAATTCTTTGATACAAAGCGTGAATGATGGAGAAAGGCCCAGAAACCTGCGAGTCACCCAGGAAAAGTATTCCAAGATACCTTGAAAACCAGTTTCCAATCGAAAACCAAAATTTCTGAAATTGTCAAGTAAACAACTGAAATAAATGAAATTCATCATTCCAGTACGAAGTATTTTTGATGTTGGAAACTAGTTGTTTCTATTTCTATCTAAGCCTCCTATTATTGTAAGTCAGTATAGGATTCTGTTTGTGGTAAGAAATTGTACAAGATATAATACACTTTATTCGACAGATTTTCAAGAACGAGGTAGTAGCTAGCACTTAAATATTCCAGTGACACGAAGCAAATATAATTTACCAAATAGACGATAGGTATTTGCACATGAATATCTAAGTGGACTAGCTGTTAGAAACGCAACTTCTACTTTAAACGTGCATATTCGCGAAAGGATTCCAATGCGCCAGAAACCTTGCTTGACCACCGGATTCACGAATTTAAGCGGTAATGTTACATTTGTACTTTCACCCTTCTTTTAAGAACTGTATCTTGTGCTCCATACAGAATGTTACGAAATGTGTTAGATCGTAAGCACCATCGAAGAAAGAAGTTATTTTTGTATATAACGAAGAATTTTATTTCTTATATATACTCTGCTATTGAGTAACGAACTATTAATTTTAATAATTAATCTCTATATTGAATGAAATTTTATATATTTATACATTACTAATAATATATATTTTATATATTAATACATACTAATAACAATTTTGTATAGTAATATTAAAGAAATAAAATTTGTATATCATACTGAATATTACAATAGATAAATAATTATCAGATATTTACATCTGAAATTTTATATATTAATACATTACTAATAATATATATTTTATATATTAATACATACTAATAATAATTTTGTATAATAATATGAAAGAAATAAAATTTGTATATCATACCGAATATTACAATAGATAAATAATTATCGGATATTTACATCTGAAATTTTATATATTAATACATTACTAATAATATATATTTTATATATTAATACATACTAATAACAATTTTGTATAGTAATATTAAAGAAATAAAATTTGTATATCATACTGAATATTACAATAGATAAATAATTATCAGATATTTACATCTGAAATTTTATATATTAATACATTACTAATAATATATATTTTATATATTAATACATACTAATAATAATTTTGTATAATAATATGAAAGAAATAAAATTTGTATATCATACCGAATATTACAATAGATAAATAATTATCGGATATTTACATCTGAAATTTTATATATTAATACATTACTAATAATATATATTTTATATATTAATACATACTAATGATAATTTTGTATAGTAATATGAAAGAAATAAAATTTGTATATCATATTGAATATTACAATAGATAAATAAATTATCGGATATTTGTATATCTTTTTTTATTTCCAACAAATGCATAGAAATGCGCAATCTACTATCACAGAAACACGAAGGAAAATGCACAAATAAATCGTAGAGGTTGCGTTCCAACGACAAGAGACAAATGGTAAATACGCACCGACTACTACGAACAGGAACAAGGTCGTGGCGATCTTCATGCTCGTCGATCCAGTTTAACTATCGCGCGGAAATTTGCAAAAATCGACGACGACGATCGTCTTGAACGAAGCTTCCGCGAGACGTTCCCTATTCCTCAAGACGATTGCCTCGCGAATGAAACGTATCGAAGATTACTCTCTCGTTGCGCGATGACCGAGGTGGACAACGTCCTCACGAGCCGCTCCGGTGAACGTGATACTTATCGCGATAGAGAGATAAAAACGTACGACAGGTTACTCGTTCCCGTGAACACTAACACTGCGTGGAATATGTTCGAAGGCGAGCACGCGGGGCACTCTCGGACCCCATCTGGTTTCCAGGGACGGCTGAAACTTGGCTCCACTTTCAAGATCCCCCCCCGCCATTTCTCCTCGAGCTTGGAAAACGTTTTACAGTTTCACAGTTAATACACGTTGGATTAAATTAAAAAAGCAAGAGAACGAGCTTGGTGAATATTTCATGAATTACCTGATTCGCGAGTCTTTTGCAACAGCATCCATTGAAATGATTAAAATGATCAAGACTGATCGAAGTTCTACCAGTTTCTTTGCTAAATAATACTTCTTTTCTCCTTAATTTTTTTCGAATTTATTCGCACTTCTTATATATTAATATAAAGTTGCTTCTTATATATTAAATTAAAGAGATTTTTTTGAGAAAGAGGAAGCAATGAATGCTATGAAGTTTTAATTTGAATTTATGATGAATCCTCCATTGTTTCTCGCGTAGAATTTTTCGAGGGAAGCTGGGAATTATGTTGGATGACTTGAACAATTTCTTGGGAATGTGAGACGGTCCTGACGAACCCCACCAAGGCATCAATGGAGAACGGTCTGTTCACGGTACAGGTTCGATACGTGCACGTCCAAGCGGCCACGAGTAAAATCCCGTGGAAGTGTCGGTGACCCACTCGGACGAAACGATAACGGGATCGCCGCGCGTTCATTCAGAGCCCGGGCAAACTGATCGACCGGTAAAGAGGATCGACTGCTTCCTTTTTTCAAGTAGGTCTTGGTCTTCGAAAGATTCGAATAAACGACGCTATCTACGCAGTTGTGATTGTTCTCTATTCTCTCGTCTCTTCGGAGGTTATTGTATCATAATAAAGTCAACGCAATATCATTAACGTAATTATAACTTTGCAAATACCTTTTATGTAAGAAGTAAAAGTAGAATTAGAATTTTATATAAGAATTAATCAAATGAATTTATATCACTTTCTCCAGACTTTACATTTATGCAAATGTATTTGACGTTGAATGAAAATTTTACATTGCGCAAATAATATAGTAATTCGTAAAATAATTTAGAAAGAAACATTTGAAGAAATCTCTTTACAAAGTTTTCTATTACCTTTGAATTCATTGTTAAAGCTGGACTAACTGCGATTCTTGTCTACAAATCTAGTTCCCAGTGCAAATCAAGTGACGTAACAGTGAATTCCGTTGTACCGATTTTATAGTGAAATCGTGCCTTTTACCGCGCGGACATGCGTTAGAAAACTTGGACGTGTTGTTCGTAACTTTTCCAAATAACGGATGTTGTTTCGATGTTAAAGAAACATGTTAACGTGTAGTTAAATCTACAGGTAGTTGCAATTCAAAAAGATATTAAAATATAGTACGAAGAAGATATTAAAATATTGATCATGTGAATGCCATGTGTTGATTAAAATTCAAATGATTATATATCCATATTTTTATTTCTAACTCTTGGTTCGCTACTTTGAATTCCTGATATAACTTTTCTTTAGTAATAATTAATTAGATGTACGAGATCGTGTACTTTCGTTAATAAATAATCGTTCGATTTTTCCACGGCAGAATTGGCCAGTTCAAAATGATCGAGGATGCGCGCGCCATCTGTTCGATACATCGATACTCGAGAGAAACGCTTCCCGCGAAAAATTTAATTAGGAAAAGTAGTTGTGTAGTAGCAGTTGTGTAGTTTTCTTTAGAAGTGTAGCATTTTTTGAAATAGTAGAATGAAAATATTAATGTGTGATATAAAGAAACATTATGAAAAATAAAGTTAAAAATAAATAAAATTATCCTATTATAGATCAATTTCATTTTAAATTTTTATACCTAAATAATGTGTATCTTGCTATATCGTCTACCTTAATTATTTTATTAATTATTATGTAATAAATTCATTAAAAATCACGGTAGAAAAGTATCAATATTGAAAATAAATCCAAAAGATTTCAACCCTATTTCAATCCTTGTAAAAATAATTAGGAAATAATTTTAAATTCGATCAAAGTATCTAGGATCCATTTAAAATTATTGGAAATTATTCCATGTTATTATAATACAAAAGTTGTTAATAGAAACTCATTGAATCTAATTACAACTCCAAGTTTATCGATTTGTGATCTAATTATATTCACGTTGGCTCTTTTCCCATGTCATGAATTTTTAATACTTCATCGTTCATTCTAAACAGCTCTAGGGAGAGATAGTTTAGATTACGATAAGAATACTTCTCATAAAAAGAAATGGGAAGCGTATATTCCATCTAAAAATTGATAATTCAAATTAATTGCATCAGATAATTAACCACAAAGGAGCGTTATAAAAAAAATATTCAAAATATATTGTATTTATTTCTAAAATATACCGAATTCATGTAAAATTAAACTCATATTAGATTCATTAAATTTAAATTTGAAGGTCATAAATATCTTTATGTACAATTAAATTTCAATAGCTAACGTAAACAAATTTAATTCTTCTAGTATTTAGATTTTTTAAAGTATTTAAAGTATTTGAACAAAAATAATTGATTACTTCTTCTCTTTGCAGGAACACTTTTATCGTAAAATGAAACTCCAACCCCTATTTGCTACAATATCGCTAGAAATATAACAATCTGCCACGTACATCCGACAGTTCAAAGGTTACTTTTATCAATTTTCACGCTAATGCAGAAACTTCTTCTTCGATTCAAAAATTATATCCTTCGAATATCTACCAACAAACTTATTATTTGATCTTAATTGATCACTGATAAAGTTTCTTAAAACAAGTACTCTAAATTTTCGCAAAATTTTCATTCATCGTCTGTACTGAAAGTCTCGTTTTGATAATACCAATATTTCGATCACTCGCTTATTTGCAATAACTTAGTAAAATAGTCGAATGTCTCGCGTACCTCGACTATTTTAAAGTTGGAGAAGAATTTCAGAAGCTGATGCAACATTCGCGTCACGTTAGTTGGAGAAGCAGCATCGATCGTTATGCAAGAATGGCGCCGATCTTTATTTAAATTAATTTCCTCGTTAGTTTCGGTATTGCCCATTGTATGTTTATGCCGCTCCATCTAAAGATAAACCTTCGTTATAAACGTTGCATTCTTATCGTACATACGAATGCGAATAATATACGCTTTGCATTCGCCAAGAGATCATCTCTCTCGCGATCGACAGTCTTCAAAAATAGTCACTGGCCAATTTCGAATGCTTTCATCGATGCTGATGTCTATTGAATCGCCTGAACTATGGGAAACGATCGTCAATGCCTCGACAGGGGTCCATACGCACGCAATTGCTTCGTCAATTGATTTTATGAGTTCCGGTGATTCAGTGTTCTGGAAAAAAAGGAAAAAGGGTCAGAGACTTGCGTGGATGGCAGATTAAATAAATCATAATTACTTAAATTATCGCTGTTATCTTTCTCTGGTCCTTTAATGTACATCGACATAAGTTATAATAACTATTGTATTATAGATTTTTATGCTTTCGTAGGAAATATTAAACAAGTACAAAATTGTACATATGAGAAAATATATGAAATATATAATATTTTGTATAGGAAGTAATTGTTTACTGAAGTTCAATTATATTTTCGAAAATATAAATTTTACTGTCTATCATCATTTTTAAATCTAATTCTTTGTAAGTATACTTTTCCAAAAATTCTTTTCTTTCTTAGTTTCCTCTTCTTTTTTTTTTTAAATAATATCCACGAAGATATGAATTTTCATAAAAATCCGCAGTCTAATAATAATGTTCAATTTTCAATATTTTTCAATATCTTTTCATCTTTCGCGAACATCTGGTCATTTACCGCGAGCGGTTATTTACATCTGCTGGCAACTTATGTCCCGAAGAGTAACGAAACTGCGTTTCGTGCAAATCTAGAGCATAATTCACACGAACGTCCCGTTGTAACAAAATATTATTTTTGAAAACAACAAAAGATCGCGCGGAGTGAAACGGTTCTAACGAGATGAATAATTGCGGTTAAGTTGGGTTTATGTAAATTTCGAACTCGCTGGAAATCAATCAGTTCATCGCTCTCTCTCTCTCTCTCTCTCTCGGCGGAGTCTGCTTAATGATTCTCGCATGGTCGATTTAATCAGTGTAATTGCTTTGCATAACACTGGAAGAGCACACGATTCGTTGTCTTGGTGGTCTTGATCGACCAGAGAACGAGAAGGGAAGAAACTCGTCGTTAATGATTTTAACACTACCGCCTCTGTCCCACATTAATTAATCCCGTTTTGCTATATTAAGAAACCAAATGTGCCCCATCTGTGCTGCATTAAGTGCTAAAAAATTCTTTAAAAGAATCCTTTTCTCGGAAGTCCGTGAAATCTTGTATAAAATTTAAGAAGGTGAATGAAATTAATGGACTCTTAGTTTAAAATTTAAAAATTTTCTATTTTTTGAAGAGAAGAGAAGACAGTGCACGATATTTGTAAAATATTCTGAAATATTAATGAAAATTTAATAAAAAAATAAAAATCGATGTTGTATACATACCGCGATGTTGAACGTAGCTGAAATTTTATGTCCAGCAGGTACTCAATGGTAGATTGGATAAAAAAAGACTTCAATTATATTATTGGCCGTCTTGCGGGTACATAATGGTTCATTCACCTCGAGATAATTCGACGAACTTGCGGTGACCTCTGTGCGACGACACAATTGCATACGACCCGCTTTCTATTGGCGCTTTTCCTTTTCTTCTTTCGCATTTCCCTACATTCGAAGAACAACGTTACACGTCACGTGAATCGAAAGAGGAACAAGAATCATCTTCGTACAACTCAGCACACACGGTACAAGTTATAATGTATTGAAAAGAAGCTTGCTAATTGAGAGAAAGGAATATTTATACTAAGGGAGAGACAATACCGATGAGTCGATGAATTTATCAATTAAGACTGTTAAACAGACACTTGGAATGTCAACTAATTTACTTATCGTGTCAAGTCACCAAGCTCCTTGGATTCAATCCAAATCTTGACTAATCCGTGCAAAGTTCATCGCCATTCTCCAAGATCCACGCGTCCACTCTGTTCTGCATCCTTGAGACGAGTCTGTATACTTAGCACACGCATCGAGTATTTATCGCTTTCGTGCTTGAAATTATTTATCAATGCGAATGGCAAATGTGCCGCGTTGTATACAAAAAATATATGTACGATGCATTATTTATCAACTGCCTGCATATCGACGAAATTGCATTCAACGTGTCGAGTCGCCCGTACTTTTCGCACTTGAACATCATTTTCGATTCTGCGACAATGTTTGGCAAAACGTTGATATTGATTAATTTTTAATTATAACAGACATTTCTTGCACAAAGAGTTTACATTCTAAGATGATGAATAATTTCGGAAAATTTTTGATTTTTAAGCAATAGCTTGTTAAATTTGTTGCACCGTGAAGTAATATAATGATCAACATCGACATCAAAATGTAATAATAGTCGATATTGATAATGCTTAACATTGTGTTTCTTTTTATTTATTTATTTATTTATTTCTTTTCCATAGATTTTTAACTGCATGTTGGTCAGAGAAACTCACGGAAAATGTATCTGTATTTTCTCGGTACGTTCTTCGCGCTTGTTTCTATATTTAGAAATTTTATTATTATTGTACTATCTCGTAGGTATACCGCTCAATTTCAGTTTTATTGTAAGAGTAATGTACGTGATGTCTCTTACAAACATTTGTTATATGGCCTTTACTTTAGCGTCTTATACCTTGCGTCAATATTCCCACATTTTTCTTAGGTGCATTATTTGATACTGTCGTATTATTTAATATCGCCGTGACATTATTATTATTATTATTATTTCAAACCTCTGGATTATTCTATGAAAACACAAAATATTTCTACAAAAATGTCTCACTTTCTTGCCAGAAAATAAAATCCTTGTAAATTCACTTCAAACTCTCGACCGAGCTAAGAAAAAAATTTTCAACGACAGAGGAGCTCTTCATAGTGTCTGAAAATATGGCGCCAAAGAGACGCCGACTTCGAAAAAAGGAGGCGCAGGCGCAGTAGCAGCCGGCCCATCGATTGTAAACAAAACTCGAGGCGACCGCGTGGTTTGGATCAGTGTGGCGACGACTCTCGCGATCGAAGGAAGTGATGGAAGTGCTTTTTCCCTTTTTCCGCAGCTTCAACTTTGATCAGAGGAATCGAAGGTTCGCATCGTTAATTCTCCGTTGAAACATCTTCGACAGAAGGAACAGAGAAGAACGTGTCGAGCCGTTCTCCCTCAACAATTTGGCGATCGAGGTTTGAAAGAAGTTTGAGAAAAATTTCGTCGACAGTCGATCGAATTTACCTGCCTCAGTCATTATTAATTTATAATTTAACCACTTCTCATCCGCCCGACAAACGACGAAGAGTTCAGATATCAACTTCTGAAATTCCGTTTCGTTCTCTTCACTCATCAAACAAACATCGTCGATGACACTTTGAAATCGCGGTGTGCGCGTAGCAACAGGTTTCACAGAGATTCTGTGCTCCCTTCGATCGATAAACGCGAGCAATTGAGCTGGCTGTGGCCCACTGCCGCATCTAGTCTGACTTGATTAAGGGACTGCAGGTAGCCTTTCGAAAAAGGGACCGAATACAACGTTGTCACATCTCGCGAGGAACTTGAGGCAGCGGCATATGTGTGCGTGTGCGTGAGCAGCAACAGCGCCAACGTTGAAGAGTAAGATACGATAATAGAGTACGCAGCGATAACTGCAGCGATACATGAACGTTGAAGATCAACAAGCCGCTTTAGGAAACTGTCGTCGTGGAATAATGCTTCGGCGGGAATAATTTCAGCTTTCTTCGGTGCTAGTCCCCCTTCGTTTCTCACAACAAGAGACGAGAAGATAGGAAGAGATTACTCGAGATCCGTATAAAACAATGAGCTCTCTGAATCATTGCATCGTTGATCGCATCTTCGAGGCAACCGCTTGAAAACTACCGCCTGACGAAACGATCTCGATACGAACGTTATTTTTCGTAGCGATTTTGACATAACACGAGGACTATCGATCCACGAGTGGTTGAAAGGAAGTTCTGAGAATCGAGATGTCGCTCACCTCGACGGAGGTTTGGAACGAAACCTTGTCGATGATGAATTCGACGCTGAACTCGACCCTAGCACTGAACGGTGCACTGAATCCATCCAAGAGACACGTGACATTCGCCTCTCAGGTGGTGCTCACGCTTGTATATATTACCGGCGTGATCGGCAACGTGTCTGCCCTGGTTATTCTCTTTCATCGTGATAAGGTAATAGTAACACTTTCGTTATCAGATCGCAGAAAGCAACTAACTAATAAGTAACGAATTTTTAAACAACGTTGAAGACTACAACATGATAATTGATATCTACTGATTAGTTTCTAAAAATCTGTTGTATTTTGCTTTTACTGCCAACGAAGGAGAAAGTAAATTACAATCAAGAAGTATTTGTCTAGCAATAGTAATCACGAAATATAGCGTTCGCCATCGTGATAAGGTAATAGTAACACTTTCATTCTGTAGTTATTATATCACAGAAAGCAACTAACTATAATAAGTAACGATTGAATTTTTAAACAACGTTAAAAATTACGATATGATAATTGGTATCTACTGTTTAGTTTCTAAAATTTGTTGTATTTTGTTTTTACTACCAACGGAGGAGAAAGTAAATTAGAATCAAGAAGTATTTGTCTAGCAATAATAATCACGAAATATAGCGTTCGCGATCGTGATAAGGTAATAGTAACACTTTCATTCTGTAGTTATTAAATCACAGAAAGCAACTAACTATAATAAGTAACGATTGAATTTTTAAACAACGTTAAAAATTACGATATGATAATTGGTATCTACTGTTTAGTTTCTAAAATCTGTTGTATTTTGTTTTTACTACCAACGGAGGAGAAAGTAAATTAGAATCAAGAAGTATTTGTCTAGCAATAATAATCACGAAATATAGCGTTCGCGATCGTGATAAGGTAATAGTAACACTTTCATTCTGTAGTTATTAAATCACAGAAAGCAACTAACTATAATAAGTAACGACTGAATTTTTAAACAACGTTAAAAATTACGATATGATAATTGGTATCTACTGATTAGTTTCTAAAATCTGTTGTATTTGTTTTTACTACCAACGAAGGAGAAAGTAAATTACAATCAAGAAGTTTTTGTCTAGCAATAGTAATCACGAAATATAGCGTTCGCGATCGTGATAAGGTAATAGTAACACTTTCATTCTGTAGTTATTAGATCACAGAAAGCAACTAACTAATAAGTAACGATTGAATTCTTGAACAATGTTGAAGACTGCAACATGATAAGCAATTAATCACGAAATATAGCGTTCGCGATCGACACTTTCGTTTTGTAGTTATTAGATCATAGAAAGCAACTAACTAATAAGTAACGACTGAATTTTTAAACAACATTAAAAATTACGATATGATAATCTACTGATTACTTTCTAAAATCTGTTGTATTTGTTTTTACTACCAACAGAGGAGAAAGTAAATTACAATCGAGAAGTATTTGCCTAGCAAATGCCACTGATGATTGATAGTAATCATGAAATATAACGTATGACAGGAAACAAATATTTGAACGTAAAGTTAAATACTGAGTGAATAACACGGCCTGCACTCTCGCATGACTGAGACTCATAGATTTCTTAAAAATACTAAATAGCGAACTGTAATGGTCGAAACGCCCATAAAATAGGGACATTTTTCCATAAAGCCCATAAAATAGGGTCATTCTCGGTTCCATCCCAAAAAAACTCTTTGGTTGCGATAACTCGAGAGCGTAATCTACGAGTCTCTCAACAAAAGGATCACTTTTATGGCAAGAATACGAAGGAAAACTCTTCGTTTAACACATTTCGTCTCGTTCGATTCTACTAACCTTCGAAAACAATAAAGAACATATATTTTTTAATAAAAGAAAATTAATAATGTACGAGCTACAATTAATATAACTAAAATACAAAAAAAAAAAGGAATGAATCTAATGTATTAAATTGCAAGAAAAATTGAAATACTTCCGAAAATGATTTCTAGATCGATCACCACGTAATCGAAATTAATTGTTACAGCGGAGGAATCGAAAACATTTGCTGATGCTGCGCTGTTTAGCAACCAACGATCTGGCCGCGTTGTTAGGAATGTTGGTGCAGATGTATATCACGATCTACGTAGGCAGCGTGATATCTACGAGAGGATTCTGTTCCCTTCGCGTTGTCTGGAGGCTGTTCGGATTGTTCAGTGGATGTGTCGCCATAGTAATGGCAGCTGAAAGGTGGCTAGCCTTAACCAGGCCCTTCGTTTATCAGAAGGTAAGTCAAGATCCTCGATAAGCCTTTCTCTTTTTCTTTGGCACTGACTTTGGCATTGACAGGGGGTTATCGTCGGATTTCCCCTTAATCTTACATTTCCTTTCAAGCTCGCGTCCTCTTTCACATCGTCGAATTCCATCACTTTCAAGATATTTTTCAGACTGTAGACTCCAGTTAGACTTAAATCCTTCCTCATTCCTCGAGAAACAATATTCCAGAACGACGTATAAATGTATACACTACGGAGGGTCGAATATATTTTTAAAGTGGAAAAGGCTTTGTTTCTTTCGCTTGGTCATTGATATTCACGATAGTTTGTATTCACGAGTCGAACGTGATCAGGAAAACGGCGCCAAGCTTTCCTCGCTGTGATACCCTGGCGATGGAAGACAAACACGGAAGTCTTGAAATTCAAATTGAAGCTCGAGATCTTTCTATTTGATTAGCTTTGCTGTTTTCACAGTTAATTCGACGATTAGAAATTAAAAATCTTGCTTGAAACGATCGATTATCAATCGAATTCTCCGCAGGATTCTTCGACGTTTCTTTCTGCGAAAATTTTTCTAGGATAAAATTCTGGAGTTGATGAGTCACTCCTTTCCAGAGTAAATGTACTTCGATAGTGAACGAAATTAATAAATGACACTTTGAGAGAGATCTATGTATGTTTGATAGTTGTATGATTGATGTATATTTGACAATGGAGACTTTATTATTGATGTATGATTGATAGAAGGCTTCATAGATTGATGATGTTTGATAATGAGGACTTCGTTATTACCATCTACGAAAATTATTGCAGACCACAAGACAAGGTCGAAAATGAAAGCAATAGTTTTGATACCTACTAGACATTATTATATTAATCGTATTTCAAGATTCATATACTTCAATGCCTCAAAGCTACATGTGACATGGAGATAAAAAACGGGAGAAAAACATCGCAATCACATAGCCGAACCAACTTCATAGGTTTTATCTGTACGTGACAAAGTTCACGTGACGTACAATGATCTACGTATGCAGCAGACCTATTTTTTCAATAGACAGCATTGACTCGAATTAGAGTGAATATTAATTAAAAATGACAGGGACCTGTTTAACGTCTCGTTGCACCTCGTCAGCCATTGCAGGAAGATGTTTATGCGTGCTCGTTAAGAAGAATCGTGGCTACAGGGGCTGCTACTATAGAAACAATTAATATTCTACTTGAGTTGATTTAGCTATTACACAATTGCTTCTTTGTATCATTTCATCTGCTGCGCTCTAGTTAAAAAACTCAATCTCGCTGAGAATATCTATTGACTGTGGCTCTTTCATAAAGTATAAAGTTATAATGAAAAAAGATTAAGAAACTATATATAAAATAATCTTTTCCATTGACAACCAATGATGTCATTAGTTCTTTCGATCGTTGAAGTACCGCGAAACCCGAGAAGAAATACTTGCATCGATATTCTTGGGATTCTGAAGACAGATCCAAGTTGATAGTGCGCGATTATTAAGTCTGTCACTTCGATGTAGCCAACGATCCGTTTGAGTCAATCTACGGCCGTTTAAAACGCAGCGGAAACAATTGTTTAAATCGGCTGAGGAGCAAGTGCTTCTCCGCATGCAGTTCCACTACCAAAATGCACATCCTGTTTCCTATTACAACAGTCGAACAAAAAATATTATGTCTCTAAGAACATCTTCTTCAAGAAAGAAGTCTAAGTTGTTCCTTTAAATTTCATTATTATTTTAAATTGTTTTCTACTTCCTTCTGTCCTCGCTTTATTTCGCTTCGAATTATTTTTGAAACAATTTCACCAGACATGGCAATTTTTTGATACGTATCTTTTGGACGAATTAGAGAAACACGATTAAAGAGGGGTCACGGGTCACAGTGAACGGTCGAATTTCCCACGATAACGATAACGGATGATAAATTCCGAGAATCAGGCTATTTTCGAGAAAAGGAAAGATCTACGTGGTCACGGGCAGCTAATTATTTCGCGTGCTGATTAGAAAAAATTATTTCACACGTTAATGACTGTATATGGGCTTGGGAATGAAACACGTGTGTTTTATCGTCGGTTGAATACAATTGAACTCGTTGCGTCGTCATGGTGAAAAATTCGTGACCTATATTGTAAACCAATAGCCACGTGTAACAGCCATGCTACTTTCCATTATTCGCATTATTCATCCAATATCTCATTTCACTAAATCATTTAAATGTATTCGGTGTTTTTTTATATTCCTCTTAACTTTTGATTTTTAATTCTTGAAATTTCATCGTCCTCGATTCTTTTTACTTTTTTTTTTTCACTGAGAAATTTCTTTCACAGAACTTTCCTATTTTTTCATTTTTTTTTTAAATATATATCTTTCACTTGAGAGTTTGAGAGCGAAGAAAATATTTCTCTATAGGTTCTCCAGTAGTTATTCCAGAAGTAACAAGATTTAACATTTTATGTCATATGTTACATTATAAATTAGGTAATGAAAGGAAAAGGCTTGTAAAGAATCACAAGGAGGTGGCACGTATCCCGAGTTTCAACAGGCGGAGATTCAGGGTCAGTGAAATTAATCTAAGCCACACTTCTGCAACGAATTCACTGAACTTCTCGCGTTGCGTGTATCTACGCACGTACAATGCTCGTAAACGAAAAATTGAAATTATCTCCGTGAATTGTACGTGTTTTTATTCTGATCGTTACTATAATAAACTCTCACGAAGATCTACGAAGAAAGTGTACCAATATTTTAACTATCTTCCTAAAAAATTCGTGTAATTTAAAATTCACAATTTACACCAAAATATCAAAATTACAATCGTTTATCGATAGTTAGACACACGTTGTAATTAATTTTCATCGCAAGTCACAATTAATTTTGTTCTGTCACTGTGTCATAATTTCTATCCTTTCCAAAATACCAAAGAAAATTGAAGGATTCGTCCACTTCATCATCCGTATGTATCATATATCCGCTGTAACGACCAGCATCATCAAAAATAGACCACAATCAGCCGGTCGATTCAAAGCTGAGATTGAAAGGAAAACTAGAAAATCCAGTCCTCTTGTTAGTAGTCACCCTGGGGAACTCTCCGAACACGCTATAAATTTGTAACGTGATAGACCTCATCTTCAGTGGCGTAACTTCGAGAACAGAGAATGAAAAGATAATTATAAAGTCGACGAACTAACTTGAGATTAGTATCACCTCAACGGGTGCAGATTATCTTCGACAAAAATACAATTGTACACGAAAATATTCCAATACGTGTAACAACTTTTTATTAACATATTGTAGGTATTATCGTGAGTATATTTGCCAGGTTTGATATTTGTAAAAAATTGCAAAAAAGAAAAAATACAAAAAAATTACAAACATTGATATTTGTAATTTTTGTATTATTTTATCAATACCATATCGCTTTGAAATATTACATTCATTCGTTGCTCTTCTTAAATATTATGGAATACTTTTTTAATCTTTCTTCTGTCTGCCACTGTGTTTTGCAAAAATATTAAAACATTTTATACTTAAGATATTCACATTAATGCCGTATTATCAAATGTACATTTGCAATAAATATCGTGAAATTTCTATATACATTTTCAGATTCATTTCACGATTTATCAATATAATCACAATATTCCTAGAATTTTTTCTATGATAAATACTCGGATACCAGCGTCACAGTTTTAATCATGTTCCGATGATAGTTTAACACCGAGTCTGATGAAAAAAAAAAAAAGATAAAGAATCCCTGTCTCCGCCAAACTAAACTGGATCAATGATTGAGCAACACGCAAAATTATCTCTATCGGTGATTTTATGCAGAGTCTATCTTTGCAGTGGAAGTTCGTGAATGATGGAATATTCACGACGAATACACGAATAAGAGAGCATATGAATCGGCGAAGAATGATTCACGACGTGAGAATGCACTCTCGCGAGGAACCAGGGACCAATATTTCGTTTTTCGCTTCTAATAACCGACGAAAATCACGAGCCAATGATTGAGAAATCGTCTCCGCTCTATCCTGATTCCACGAAGTATATGTTCTGATTAAATAAAACAAAATTCTGAGCTCCCTTAAAACTAATGGAGATCATTCTGCGAGAATCGAATTTTAGCTTGATGAAGCTTGCGACGTATCAACTCTTTTCTGAAACATTTTTTTTTTTTTAATATTTCGAGAAATAATTAATGAAGATTAAAAAGTGAAGATAGTGTTATCTCTTGTGGATTATTTCACAAAGAAAGGAGAAATATTCGTCTAAAATTTATTAATATCGTAATGGAATATTGAAAATAATAATAGTTCTGAAACTAATGTTAACTCCTTGGTATTTTAAACTGACGAAGAAAGCGAAAGGATTCATCGAAAAGTTGCTAGTGTTTAATATAATGTTACTAATGTTTAATTTACTAATACTAGAAGACAAAAACAGTGACAGTGGCAAAATCAATGTTAACATCTCGATATTTCGAACTCGCGATGAAAAAGAAACGATTCAGCATAAATTTACCAACTTGTTGTGACAGTATATTATCTTCACAATTTGTCGGGAGATAAAATATAAGATACTAAGTTTTTTATTTATCGTTGAACATGCCCGATTTGGACAACTTTATTTCCATAACATCTCTTTCTCTGAGGATATTTATGTCTGTGAGAGAAATTTTCGCTTCTCATCAGATTCTCATAATAGCTCTTTCTCTGAGGATATTTATGACTGTGAGAGAGATTTTCGCTTGTACAGAAATGAACTATTAGACGTTGACGTGTTGTCTAAGGGCGCGCGGAAACATGATCGTGAAAATTCGTTTCCCGCTGTAAACTAGAGAATAGGACAATGTTTCGCTTATCTTCTTTCTGTTGGAGGTATTAAGAAACGAAATATTATCTCACATTCTTTGATTTTATCCGAGCACGGTATATTAAGGCAAATTAATCTGGGAACTTTCGAACTTTATGGAAAATTTAAGCGAAGAATTTTTAGCCCGATTATTCATTTTTTTTTTTAATAATATTTTTTGTAATTTCGCGCTTGCCAAAAAATTTTCTACAAACTCTTATACATGTACTATATATTTAATTTTCTATCAATATTATTTTAATGACAAAAAAAAAAAGTAATAAATTTGACAATTGCAGTCATAAATATTCACGTTTCTAGATATTTCTACTCTACTTTTGAATTTTATGTAATTTAGATTTTGAATCCAATGATTGCAAAACATTTTATCATTAGTTGATAGTCATAAACATTGAATCACATAAGGAAGAAATTATTCGACGTGAAACAACGTTTCCTTTGATAAGAAGCGCAGTTATGCGAGCTTCTGACTCGGTGTGTCTATCAAATTCAAGGTTCCTAAACGTTTTTAGATCATCTGGTGGTACTGCTTCCAAATGCACGCGTCAAAAATATATTCTATTAGAAACCTATTGTCATTAACCCTGAAATATTATCATCGGGTTATAGACGATTAAAATAATTTATGTAAAAAGATTGAATCAAATGACAGAAAATTCAAAAAATTGTGAGTTAATATTGAAACAAGAGATGTGGAACCAGAAAAATTATAAAGAATACATAATGCAAAAGAAACAAACCTTTATCTTACAAGAAAATATGAAATGTCTTGAAATCCATATGAAATAACCTTATTTTAATATTTTAGTAAATATGAAATAGTTTATTTGACAAGCAAATATAAAATATTCCTCAAAAAACAATGTATATCAAAAATAGAGTTAAGCTTAAAGATTAACAGTTGTGACCAGCGTGAAATCATAGGTATGATTAATGATTATAATTACTGAGTAATCCAATAATCGAAGCAAATTCACTCGATCATTAATCACTTTTAATACGTCTTTGATTATAATTAACAAAAATTATGATGCTGATCAATCATTCATTAAATTATTATAAATTACAGATTGATGATTGCAGAATATTAAATCAATAATCATGATATATGGTGATGGTATATTGATTTATATCGGAAATGATTAATTCACGATTATAATTACCGTGACTGCTTTCAGTAATAATTACAGAAATAATCACAAAATAGTTATTCCTTAACTCTGATCAAACAATTGGTCATTCCATGCATGTTTGAAACAATTCTTTGCGTGACTGTGAAAGAGAAACTTCTATCTCTCAGAAGGTAGTAACGCTAAAAGCAGAGATACTTTAAAGACGATACGAAGTCTGAACAGTTATTACAGTTTCCCTCGGTTCCTTTATTTCGCGTGCGGTACTGAACGCCGCCAGTTTCCCTTTGTGAATAAACCTTCATTTTCCCCCTTAAAGAACACTTAGACCACTTCCGCAAAGGAACGACTCGGAATTCTCGGTGAAACTTTCGTCCCTTCTTTCATTTCCTAAGGTTAACACGTTTGTCACGCCCGAGCAATGATATCTGTACGTTTGTTTCGGACGTAGATATTAAAAAAGAACATGATACGAAGAATATCTCTCTCCTTGGCTCGAGAAAAGTATACACGATTGTTCCAATTAAATTATCAAACGATCTCTGATAAAGATTTTGTATGATTTTTCTCATTTTAATTGAAACCTTTCACGAGCGAGTATTTCATTTATTATTTCCTCTTTGCACTCGAGAGAAATGCATAATCATTTAATCAATTAAACAATCATCTTACAAACTGGATTGACATTTTAATGGATTTTATACTAGCTGAAGACGAAGGAAATAGCGAAATTATTAGATGTTTAAAATTGGTTGATAGAAATTCATGATGTCGCAAAGTTCCTTATTTTTTGGGTGCCTGAAATAGGTTGTAAATTACTGACATCAACCTTGTGTTTCCCTCTTTCTATTTCCGTTGTTGGAAATGAAATGGTTGGGATGTTGGGGTTGAACCGAATTCAATCAGACGAAATTGAACGCTCAGGTCAACTTACGGAATGAATAAAGAGTAACTCTTGGGGGTTTCGATCCAATTTCAGTGAGAATTTAGTACCCAGTCTGAGACTTTCCAGAAAAATCATATCTCACGTCAGTTCGAATGTTTAGACCAAATTTGACTCTGTAGATTCAAAATACTTGCACCCTTGTGTCAAATAAAACACTGAGAACATCACTCTGTTCGCTATTTTATTTTTATAAAACAGATATCTGTATCAAAACAGTTCTACTTGTTGCAATATGGCTAAAAAAATCTTTGAAAATATAAATTTTGATAGCGTCGTAGACAACTAGCGCCGATCAAACCTTAAACGCGACATCTGAAGAAGATACGGTTTTATTCTGCCTGCTTTGTTTGGATTTCAAAGGTTTCGCTCGAAAATCGTCTGCTCGATGACGAAACTTGATGAAGCTCTACGTAAACAATGATATCACAGCGACTCGTTTTTCCGAAATTTTCCCGTACGTCTAAAATAAAACTTAAGGCAAGTCAACAATCCCGAAGATACAGTGACGCAGATCACGGGTTCAACTATTTTAAGTTGATTGTGCGATCGAAAGAAAATATTTTCCAACGGTTACGAAAGTTATTTCCATTGTATTTCTATTATAACATAATTAAATAATAAATAGTACGTAGTAACTATAAAAAATTTTCTATTTGAGGAACAAAGGTGTGCGCGAATATTTTTGCAACCACTGTTTAAAATCCACTTATGATATTTCTATTAAATTGGATTCAAACGTATTAAATTTTGTATCATTTAGTAACATTTCTATATAATTATAAAAATTTGACACAACGAAATTGAAACGTAGAATCTAATTGGAAAAAAGATTTTGTTGGTAATTGAAGATGTTGTTTGCAGCCTCTGTATATGTATTCATTCATAAAAATTTCTCGTACTATCTGGGGATGTTGAAGCGATTTACGAAATAGCCAAAGTTCTTCCCCTTCTAATATATTTGCCGATTGCTCGTTGTAACAATCGGTCCATTAGAATCGATATTCCTCAGCTGTTTCTCGCGCCCACGCGTCATTCATGGAAGTTCGTTGGCTTTGTGTCATTGAGCAATGGATCGATGCGACCGTACGTGCTGAAAAAAGGCACGTGGCTGTGAATGGAATCGAAAGAAACTGATGCAACTCTGTCCCTTTAACCTTACTGTGCATACTTACTTGAACGAGAAGTTTGTTTAGAAGAGCAGGTGAACATATCATTTTTCATTCGAAACTCTAAGATCATTGTTTAGATTGTAATTATCAAAATTGAAGATTAAATTGACATTAAATTGTAGGGTAAATTCATAATGAAATTAATTTCTTTAAAAAATCTAATTTTTAAGAATCTTTCACGTTTTTCTTCTTCAAATAACGAAATAAATATTTAGCCACGTAGACTGTAATTATCAAGCCCTAAATCTCTTTTTCCATCCTCCACTGTTAGAATACCGTGGATGGAAAATGTACAATGAGCACTATGGATGAAAAGTATATATGTAATTACCTGACTCTTGTGCTATTCAATCTGTGACACGCGTGTGTTCTCTAGCAGGTGACGTACCCGATGATTGTACGTTGCATGCTGCTACTCTGGTTAATCGCCCTGGCGTTGACAAGCATGCCAGTTATGGGTTTCGGTGTATACTACAAAGGTGAACGATGTATTCGATATCGAGAAGCGACCGAGCCAGCTGATATCGCCTACGCGTACGTCTGGTTCGTTTTCGGTGAGTACCAAGTGCGATAGCGATCGATAAATCGATAAACGTGCCTCGACTACAAAATACATGTGTAATAGCTCAGTATGGCAGAATCTTGATGACACAATTTTTTTTTTTTTCTCAATATATCAGTCGTGTGAATGATCTTTATCTCTCACGAGACTGAAAAGATGAGGACTCCGGTGATCTGGAGATATTTTAGAGACTGTTCCAAAGTTACCAAACTTAGAGACTTTCGCGCATTGTTTAATTTAATTTATCATCGTATCGAGCATCAGTCGGGCACATCCATCTTCACGAGTATCAAATCTTCGTGATTTCTTCGTGAACAGGCACGGTCCTCTGTCTGTCGATCGTTTGGTGCAACCTGGCGGTTTCCAGGGCGCTCAGCAAACTGAACTGCAGAGCCGGTGTACTACGGCGAGTAACGAGATCATCGTCAAGAGCGAAACCGTTATTGACAGTGACGGGGCCAACGCCAGAGATCGTCACCACCGCGGAGGAAAGGGCATTCGCAAGATTGATGGCCGTACTATCGATATCGTTTGTTGTCTGTTGGATGCCACAAATGGTAAGCAATCGATCGTCGCGGTAATTGATTGAATTAATTCCTTCCAGCGCCGGAACACCCACGGCAATTAAACGACGCTCGCTAAGTATCATTTTGGCAAGCTAATTGGAATTCAAAGAATGCGTCACATTCGGCACTTCCGCTATCGACATCGTTGAATAAAAGGCCCGTCCTCGGACACTTCCGTCGGGTTAGAAAAAATATTTCTAATCGATTTACTTTTCCTATCACTTTTTCACTGTAACTGACATCGTTTCAGTTTTCCAGTAAATTTAGCTTTCCTCGATTTTCGCCAAGCGAAAGAAATGTTTTTTAGAGGCAAAAATGAATTTGAAATTACCAAATTTCCATAAATATCGGAACTGTCGGAAAATTGTGTTGGCGCAATTATCCACTTCTTAATTTTAATTCGTCGTAACGATACATTTTGCCAGGAAGGAAGGAAGTCTATGAGAAAAGAGCTTCTCTCTTTTATGGAGGCAACGGCGTTTACGTGACGCGATTTTCGAAGATCCTTCGACGATAATATTTGCTCCGACGTCGGCGAAACATCGATAAAATTCGCGGTCGTGTTGGCCGTGACAGGACTTTAGAAGCAAATAATTTCTGATTCTACACCATATATCTTGCTTGGAACATCCGTCCAACAATTGGCAATCAACTTGACCATATTTGATTCAATATCGGTACCGATCGTTAATTGTTGTTTAATTGCTTTTCGTCAACGTGTCGATGAAGTCGTTTTAAACTGATTGAAAAGGATAGTTTGGTCAAAAACCATACAGTATTAATTATATTTTTTATGAAAATATTCTCCAATTCATTAATCGATGATCCAACTATTTACACTCATAAATTAACTTACTGAAGAAAATCATCTACTATTAAAATAACACTCGTAATATATATAGTAAGTTATTATCGTTGAGCCATAAGTTCCAACAATAATCAGGGTATTTCTAGAATTTTATAAACATTCTATTTCCAATCTCGAAATCTGAATGATTGTTTTAAAAATAACCCGGAAAGGAACATAGACTTCCCATCCCAATTAATAACAAACGAACTAATAATACTTTCGTAGAGAAACTGATTCGCGAATTAATCGCAAGAAATCTCGCATCGTTCCAAGGAAATCAGGTCGGAAGCTGTCGCATTCCAGAATTTTTAATCCAACAGTATCCTGCCGGCAAGAATACAATCGTCTCGAACAATGCACTCGGTGATACGACGATTGCATACTTACGAGCATTCCGCATTTCCATCTTCTTATCCGCTCAGCATCTTGCCTAACGTGTGAAACGTACGACGATACGTTTGATTAATTACTCGAATCTCGCGTTTTTCGAGCTTGCAATTTTCAACTGCAATTCGTTTGCTCGTTCCTCGTTTCCAAGGCGTTTCGAGACGACGAAAACAATGTAACGATTTATAACGCTCGAGCGAAATTGCGTGTGTGACGCATTTCCGGTTCGCTCGGGACGAAGGTTAAACGCGAGGATTCAGTTTGGAATATCGTCACGTACGATCGATCGGGACGCTCGCGAACCAATCGATCTTTCCAACGCGTTTGTCTTGCGAATAAGAACGGACGTTGGCAGAGATCTTGAGAATAAGAAACAACGAAGAAAATTTTCCCTCGACATCCGCCGTCGATGGCCGTGTATTTCTGTCGTTTGACCCTAACCGCGTGGGTTCATGTTGATTCTACCGGTGACCGTGACACTTTTTCAGCCAGTTCACCTTTGAGTATAATTACGATTCGTAGAGTCGTCGCCCATTGCGTTTGATAATTTCGTAAACGTTTGACATATTCAGGCTGCATGATGTACACGCTTGTTAAAATTCCTCACTTTCAGACTTGTACCGATTAATCGTTAAATTGTAAAATTTTATGCATTCGTGTAACACGACGTTCGAAAGTGTAAAATTCCGATAAATGTAATATAAAAAAATGGTGCACAAAATATATTATTGTGGTGGAATAATTTTCCATCGAATTTCCATTTTGCTAGTTCTTCAATTTTATTTCTGTCGTGAACATTCTAAGTAAAATATATAATATACATTATTATATATAATATAAATATAAAGTAATATATATTATTATGTACAATAAAAATATAAAGTGATATATATTATTATGTACAATAAAAATATAAAATAATATATATTATTGCATGCAATATAAATATAAAGTGATATATATTATTATGTACAATAAAAATATAAAATAATATATATTATTGTATGCAGTATAAATATAAAGCAATATATATTATTATATACAATAAAAATATAAAATAATATATATTATTGTATGCAATATAAATATAAAATAATATATATTATAAATATAATATGTTCTAAATCTCAAAGATTAAATGCACTGAAAAATCATGCAACAGAATTGCAAATTTATGAGGGAAAGAATTGGTTGAGCAAAAGTTTATTGTCGTTTCGTTTCGATAGATCTCCATCCCATTGGCGCAGTTCGCGATGCAGCTACCTCAGAAGGCGATATTGGCGCGTAAACTGATTCGTATGTTTCACTTGGCGGCCGACGTGCTTCTTTGCATTCACTTCACCCTGGATCCGTACATCTACGTACTGCTGAGGATGCCACGTCCGAGATTCCGTCTTCTGAAACCCCTGTGCAAGATCTGTTGGCCAGCTAGAAGCCGGTCGAGTTCGTTCAATGGTGAGTTTCGTCAATCCGAAACGGAAATTACGTGTTTAGAGGAGATGGGAACGATTAGTCACGCAAGTGGGACCGACAGTATACAAACTTGATGCAAACGTTTCATTCAATCAACTTTGGATATTTGATACGAAGACCACAGGTGGTAAACGTGATAAGTTACATTTCTTGGCCTTTCTTCTTTCTAAATTCTACATTGTTATCGAAAATATCTTTCTCCATTCAATTATTATTTGGGATTGATGTTACTTGTTTCGGGGAATTAATTTAATTTAACGAAATTCAATTGTGCAGTGTAATGTTAATTAAGATTTACATCTTCGAATCTATTAAGTTATTCCCTTCTTCAACAATTTCGTGTTGGAATATTTCTTTTCAATCGATAAATGACAAAAAGACGTTGCGAAATTGAGAAAAATGAATTTACCACGTTTCTCTCGTGTGGTCTTCGATATTCAGCGCTGTATATTAATATTTAACAATAACAATATTTAATGATTATTAGTAATAATATATTAACAACGATACTTTAATACTCTGTTAATACGAAATACCGTTTTAGCAACATGTTTCATGTTTAAATAAAAAACGTAAGATACCACTCGTCGCAATTGCGTGACTTATTTTTACATTGTATAATCGAACCTTTCCAACTAACCGCTGTGTTACTTCTAAACGTTCGAACGACTAAAGAACAAAGGGTAATTGAACCCAGGTGTGTTTGGTTTTCAACCTGTAATTTAACGTGAATGTTTAAGTTTAACTATCGAAGTGAAATCTACTGTGGTTTCTTCATGGCACGTGAACGGGAAATAAAAAGTCCTATAAAGAAAAGTCCCACTAAGGGACGACCATTATCAGTCTATCTTCCCAAATCGAGGACTTTCGCAGATTCTTAAAGACGATATGAACAAACAAATTACCACTTACCTAAATATGTTTGAGTGTTCACTTAACACGTTCCTATCATTTTTTTTTTTTTTTTTTTTTTTTTAATCAATGTGGTGTACAATCTTCTAATCAATTTTAATCCGTTGATTTTTCTAATCAGTCTAATGTGTTCTAATAATACGTTCTCACTGTCTAATTTAATCCACTGATCGTTGCTCTCTATCAATCGATCTCTTTCAATCGAGTACAGCAGCGAAGATCAAGCGGAAGTAAAAAGGGGAATTCTTTATGGTTCTAAAACTATCGTTCAACAAGTTTGGGATCATTTATCAAGAAGGATAGACTAGAAAATAAAGCAATTTACTGTTTCTCAGTAGATCTGCAGTATCGTCTTTTAATTTTGCAGCACGTAACAATATTTCGTTGCACTTTTACCTAATTCGCGCACTTTTCCTTTATTAATATATTGCGAAGTATATTTTAATTTCTTGATTTCTCATACATTCCTGAATGTAGTGATTTAACAATAACTAAAGTGACTAAAGTCGATTCGTCGGAACATTTGAAAACTAACTAGCCCCTGTATACTTCCCATAACGTAATTATAAAAAAAAAAAAATAAAAAAAAATGGAATAAAATTCCAACTTATAATAATTTTTATTAATGGAATAAAATTCCAACTTTTCCATCAAGAAATTCCAACCGTTCAACTACACAAGCGTGGCCCCAAACTTTCTAGCGATAGCGTAATTACCTAGTTTGGCAATCAGTTTTCTCATTAACGTAGCTGACTGATGAAGAATATTTGACGAGGAGTGGTAGCATTCCTCTGTCAGTTTTAGCCCGATGTTGATGATCCGTACGATTGAAATTGGACTCTCTAACACCTGACAGGTACCACAGACCACCAGGGCAGCAGTGGTGATCCGTCGACCCCGATCACCGAGGCACCCTCCACGCCGGTCAGCGAGGAACACGATCCTCATTTAGTGTCGGCGTCGGTCTGAGACAGGCTTCAGCGAACGATCTTCCTGAAACGGCTCAAGAGTCACGATGTCAGCCAAGTTTGAGCGGCACGCTCTTCGAGAACAGTCGGAAGATCTTCGCTTGCATGCAAGAATATACAAACGACTGGTACAAATCCAGTACTTGCGATTGGCATCGAAATTACGAAGAAAATTTGGTATTACGAAATCACCATCGTTGTTTCGACTTTTTGGTTAGAAGAATGTCATTGAAATATTTTACCGAACGAACAAAGTGATAAGTCTATTGCGTCGAGTCAAACATTTCAGAAGAGATTATAATCGTTACTTTACGGCCAAATGTTTCATCGAATAATCTGTTGCTTTGAATTGGCATCGATGTCGATCGAAATTTTTATTTAATTTTGGTTTAACAGTTAGAAAGATTCGAGCATTGTCGAAATATCTAAAGCGAGAGTTATTTGTATGAAATCAATTTCGTTTCGAGGGATCTTCAAGATTACGCGAGTGAGTAATTGAGGGATGAATCAGGTGCGTTGAGATTGATACCTCGCTCATTTTTCGTGTACAATTAGCACGTTATCAGTGTTCGTTTAGTTGTGTTATTGTACATGGTTCATTTTATAGTAATTTTAATGTTCTTCTCGTTAATTAATTTTTCCACTTTCTTTGTAAAAAAAGAATGTGGTGTTTTTTGCATAGATGGTTTCAAAATTTCTGCAGGTTTTTATTTTCTTCTTCCTCTTCACTTTTTTGTATTGTTGCATCTTTCACGGGACGTAAGTGAACGACATTCCAAAAAAATTATCATCGCAAGTGTTACTATATTAATGTGAAGCTTCGAGATTATATAAAATAGCTGGCAAATTATATGTATATAAGACTCTACTCGTTTGCAAGTGAGAGTGAGTGTCGTTTGTTCGATGTTCCTTTTTCTTTCAAACATTTTTCCAAGTTGTAAGTTGTAAAAATTGGCTTGAATATATTCTTTCCTCGGAGAGGAAACTACTTGCGTAAAGAAGTGCGGAGTGTTGTTACAAAGAGAAGTACAGTTAAGTATATTCGAATACGTATGTAAGTGAACGAGAAATTATCGCGATGCAAATTTCTGTCACGGTTACGTAAATGTTAGTCTAGTCAATGAATTAATGCAAGCGTGCAATATAGTTGTGAATATGCAAGAGATAATTTACCAAAGTATTAAATATTAAAGCGTATTTTCATCGTACGATCTACTTCTTTATATAAAACTGTAATAGAGTTTGAGAAAGAAACACACACACACACACACATATATATATATATATAAAATGTATAAAATATATACTGATGAAAATATTTATCACATGTGAATATATTGTATGCAATCTTGTGCATATTTCATATTTAATAAACGTTACCGTAAATTGCTATTGTTGCAGAAGCCCGGTGTAATAAAAATATTTTATCACTTTCTATTGTATCGATGTAACGATATTAATAAACTTTAATCACTCTTTTTTTTGTTAACAAATCCCAAGAATACTACCGTAAACTTCAATATGAAAATTAAGGATTAATACTTCGGATCGTTTTCAATTTTAAGTAAGAGATAAATAATAATAGTACTGTGTGAGATCCAATGAAAATTCAAATAACTGAATTACATCAACTCGGTCCATTCTTTATCCAGCAAATAATTGTTCCGCGATCATTTTCGTGGCAGTTAATTAACGAATTAAAAATTTCGAATTAGCGATCATCAAAAACGACGCGAGTGAAACGGGGGAACGAAATAACGACACAGGTGGGAAGGAAGGAGTACATATAATACAAATATATTTCATACGCAGTTACGTACTCTCTTGCTTCTAGACACTTAACAACATTAATCAATAACTTACGGGACGCGATCGTTGCTGAATACACGACACCCCTCTTTCTCTCGTTTTTATTGCACACTAGAAATATACCACAGATGCATTCGTACAGTACAGTATCAATCGCGATACGTCTTTCGCGTACTTTCACATACACCTTAAGTAGCTACAATAAATAATAATAATTCGATAGCTTAATCCCACCACTCGTCTCTCGCGTTCTACCCGATGCTCGTCGATCAAGGATGTTCGTTCGATCTCCACGCTACGAGACACAAAAACAAAAAAAAGGAAAAAGAAAGGAAAAAAGAAGAATAAACAAAGACGATCGTAACGAAATTCCTCTTGACTAACAAAACAATCGTCTATACTTCCGATACACGCAGTTGCATCCTTATCATCATCATCTGTCACAAACGATATGGACTGCACACGTTGATTGCCTCGCGAGGAAATTCCGATTCGTTTTCATTCTTTTGCGAAAGAACGCAAAAACCTGATTTTCTCGTGCTTCTCTTTCGTTTCGTTGGCTCTGCCTTTTTCCACGCAGTCAGTTGAGCACAGTCAGTCGCTCGCAAACACGTATAATTATGTGACTACGGTAATAGAAATCACACCGATTAACAAAATATAAGCCCCGTACGTGGCCAACGATTTTTACTAGCAACGGATTGCATAGTCGCTGGAAGAGATGTAATAAGGTCGTAAAAATGGTTGAAAGGCAATAAAAATCTTTCGAAAGTTTGAAGGAGTTTCAGACATATAGAAGATAAGGAACTCGAGATCTTGCTTGGAATTGGAACCGTGTCTTCTTCTTTGGTCTAGTAAAGATATTTCAAGAATTTGGATCCGATTCTACGGAGATGTTGAGATTTTTTGAAGAATTTCTGTATTTCGCTAGCATTGTAATTACGTTCCTTAGAGTGTTCAAGTGACATACTGAAACTATTAACTTGCATTATAAAGACAAGTATAATATATTAACCAGGAACTATTGATTATCAATCAGATTTTGTTCAGTAGCCAATTAAAAAGATTTCTGTATAGTATACATTTTAAAAAAATTCTGAAAATGGATGATTTGCTTTTCACGCAGTGTACAATATGTATATTTTGTATCGAAGTTTTACACGCCAGGTTAAGAAACTTGCATAAGTTCAAATCATTCACGACCATGTGTGACCTCATTATATCAATTCTATCGACTACACCTCGTTCTCGAGTGGTAGGCTTGTGAACAATGATTTATCACACGTACAGGTATGTCGATAATTATATAATACACATGAGAATGATGCCTCCATTCTCTACGACGATCGTAGAGCGAATCTTGCAATCGTTTCTCAGTTCGAGCCGGTCGAGAAAGATCAAGATCCCATCGTTCCTCGTATCAATATTATCGATTAAATACGACGCTGGGTTAAAACGAATCGTTTTGTGCTTCGCTCATTGAAATTATTCGAGTCAGTCTTGAAGCATTTTGATGTGTCGCCGGCTCTTCTAATAAAACGATACCATCTCTCCAGAAACACTAATTTATTTTTTCTCTTCTTTTTCTTTTTTACATATTTTACATCTTTTCATTTTTTTCTCATTTCTTCTTTTTCCTTCTTCTTTGCACGTATTATATAATTAAACAACGCATCCATACAATTTCTTTCAATTTCTCGTAAGGACAATAATTTTTATTTCTTCTTTATATATATATATATATATTTTTTTTTTGCAAACGTTGTCATAAAATCACAAAGTATATTTGATACTTTGAACACCTAATCTCGGCTCCGTGAGAGATCTAAAGTTCGTCAAATGAACGAAAGAAGATTGGTCAACAAAACTGCAAAGTGCCCTCGGTTTTGATTCGATGCTAGAACAACTGGCGTCTAAAGTACAAAACGCGTCAGAAAATGTCAGGAAAACGAAACTCTTTAAGAAACAGGAAAAAGCTCTGTAACACGACAAGAAACGTTCGATAAGTTTTCACTTATACACAGTCAATACAAAAAAAACCTTCGTACCATGCAATAAACATTTTTAATCTCATCATCGTGTTTCTTTCCAGTCCAATTGTTATATAAATGTTATTCGTTTGCCGTTCTTCAAAATTCTAGTGTAGCGTATAGAGACTTTTTTCAAACAGACCGTGTTTTACGAGAAATTATTCAAATCTTCAAATATTCGCGTGAGAGTCCCCGCGAAAAATTACGAATTGATCACAGGAGCCAGTCTGATAGTTCTAGCGTTGAAAAGGTATCATCGTGGCAAGAGTCCTGCAGTCACGGCCTCGGTATCGTTGCAACTGATCGACGTGCGAACGTTTCGTGCGAAAAGGGAAATCAGAGGGACGAAATATCGCGAGAATCGAAAATATCGTAAAAGTCAAAGACGAGAGGGAAATGATTTGCATCGCGGGACATTTGGTCATGCGTAAGATTATCTGCGTGATCGATATCAATTAATTATTGTCAAATACGCTGTATGTTGATCGTGTGTGTCCTCGAAGTTGTAAAAAAGTCAGGCGAGTCTCGCTCGAAATTGCGAAGCGAATAAAACGCGCGTGAGACGTACAAAGAGCTTAAGATCTATCCAGATGCACCCTAAACGGGGGGAAACTGTGCGGATTGGTCTCTCGAATTTTTGTACCAATAACGCTGACGTAGAGACAACCAAACGCCAATGTGATAATTATCGCGACGAAGCTTTGAGGAACCTTTCTTCCTTGAATTCCTTGGCAATAATAACTCCCGCAATTTTTTCTCACGTCTTCAACGAGTTCGTTTCCTTTCGTTTCGTTTGCAACAACGTTTTGACTTTCCTTCAAATGAGAAATTATACGCGGAAAGACAAGAAGTTGGGCAATTTATATTTCATTTAATCTTCAAGTGGACCATTCATAATTAATTGATTGAGAAGATCTCACGTGAAAGAAAATCTATTTCTATTTCATCTAATTCATCGTAAATTACTAAATTATAATAAACTGTATTATACAAAAGATCCACTTAGGGATATAATTATTTTTCGCTTTATCGAAATCAATTAGGACTCTCTCGACTAGCAACTGAAACAACCGTTTTGACAATTCACTGTTTACAAAGATTCCCCGATCGAAAGAAAGAGATTTAGTCTTCTCGTTATTTATTCAACCTGGCGAATTCGGTAGAACTCCATTACACGATTAAACACGAACACATTCTGTCGCGATCAGTTGAATCATTCAATACAAACGAACAACGATGTGTTACGCGTCGGCTGCGTCGATCGATGGACAATGATAAATTCGTTTTGGCACTCTTAACTCGATTAGCTCCCATTTCGTATTTTTAAATGGTATTTTTAGGCCAGTGTGTCAACGGTGTTGTGTATAAGCTCGATTCAACGCTCTTCCAGGTATCGTAATCCATTGCGTTCCGGTGTTGCGTTCAACGTTAGCATATATTACATTTAACAGAACGGGCACACGGTATAACACCGCGTAATTAAATCGATTTGGTTGAAGCGCGCGTGTACGCAGTCGTTCACCTGTACCCTCCTTTATTGAACATCGAAGCACATCGACACCTAAATTGCGATCGCACGATCAATTAGCGTCGCGGGATCGAGCACCGAGAAATCAGCGTTCGATACACGCTGGTCCGATGCAAAAGTACAAACTCCCGTGGAAACGATTCACTGAAATCAGACGGCATTCAAAACGATGACAATCAAAGTTATGCGCGCGATTTAACAATTAAATTTTGGAGCTGGATGGGAAACATTTGTACGGAACGTGTATCTCTGTGGTTTTGAATTTGATTTCGGTGAATCGTTTCGAATAGCTTCACAGCGAAATCAGCCTCAACAAGAGTCAAAGAGGATTTTGATTTTCTCGATGATGTTAACTCGCGTATTGTACGCGATCAAAGAAACGCTGTCTAGTCCATTTCCATGGCGGTTTGGAACGCGTGCTCCTTGGCACCCTGAAAGTAACGGACCTCTCTTATTCTGCTTTTGATCCACTCGGCCAAAATCAGCCAGAGAACCTTCCCGCGTTCCCTGAAAAATCGTCGGGCGAACACGTCCTGAACAGTCACGATCGGACAGTGACGGACCCGACCGCGTGTGGATTGCACACGCAACAACGATTCCCACGGCATGTCATGCCGACGTGAGTGAATTGAGGCCCTTACCTGCAAAATTTCCCAACTTTCATGAGAATCAAACTTTTTGTGAGAAAACACTGGGTGACACTGACGCGAGGTTCCGAGTTAGTAGGAAGTTGAACAGGATTTCACACAGTTTTGGAAATTAGTGTTGGGGGTGGTACCGATAGTGTGTTGATTGGCTCGAGAAATAAAAGATAGAGGTGTGGAAGAATGTGTGTGAAACAAAAGAAGATTTGGAGACAAGGTGCTGGAACGCTTGAGAGAAGAAATGAACGATGAACGAGTGTGCGGTGTGCGGTCAGAGATGAGCTTGTACAGAGGAAGTGTCTTGAATTTTATCCTATTATTTACTACTTATTTAATTGTAATCATGTGTAGATAATAAATGTATATATTATATATTAATATGATAATATAATAATATATAATAATATAATATATATATTTATTTATTTATATATATTATATATATTATAGTTCGTTATAAACACCATAATTGTGGAGCTATAAAATTATCAATTAGTTAGTAAATTAATTGGTAGGAAACGATAAATATTTTTATCGCAACGTATCATTTACGTTGGTAATTGTGACTACTTAACAGAATTTAGCCCCTAATGAACATTATTTCGAATACAGGTTGAAACACGGACCTTCAACAATTGTAAATTCAATGCGATCGAATATGTATTACCAACGACGATGTGAAACTGAAATTCAATTGCTTCGAACTGAACTCACCGAGGGCCATATCAGATTCGATCACACTTTCCAAAGCAGCAGATGATTGGTCGAGTCTTCGCGACCAGCCTGCAGCTCGGCGGATGCCTGCGGACCCCTGAAATTCTCGTAACCATCTCCGCCCGATATCACCAGCAGTTTCCCGCGATTGATGTTGTTCTGTTGAGTTTTGCTCGACTTCAGCGAGTATCTGTTCACCTTCGGACGCGGATCTGGCTTCGGCAGCGTCGTCGTTTCCACGCATGTGAGGAAACGCACGTGCCCGGTATGTCCATGAGGAATACCTGACAAGTTTAACGAAACATAACTTTACTTTTTTAAATGTTAGCTCCAACGCGAAACCTACTAACAGCAAATTACGTAAAATGAAGAATTTGCTATTCTCCAATATTCTCGTGTTATTATTTCCAATAGACAAAAAATATCAGGTATTTTATGCGATAAAATTCTACAAGGGAGGTTAATATACATACTATTAAGATTTTATAAGATTCAGAGGAACAAAATACGCTTGAATTTAATTTCTCCACAAACATCAGTCTCTTCTCAGCAGTTAATTAAATCGTAGCACAGATTAAAAGTAACCGTACCAACGAGAAAGTCTGCATTTTTTCAAGATTTATTAGTTTACGCGTATACACAGGGGAATCCAAAAGTTTCGTGAATGATCGATCGAGGCTGGTATCTGGCCGGTATCGAAGCGGACACTCGTCCACTCGGTGGCCAGCTTCTAATTATATCGAAAGCAATAAGCTACGATTATAAACGATCGAACATGACGTCAATACGTACCAGTCACGATCGGTGGTTGGGACATCCTCTGAGTAGATGGCTTTATATGGGGAATTGGCACAGTCAATAACACGCCGGCGCTCGTGCCGATCCAAAGTAACTCGTTGCAAGCCAAAAGTGCGGTAACCCTGAGACAAGCGGCCTTGTGCTGTCGTATTATGTCATCGCAACCTGCAGCAAGTTTAAAGCTTCCGTTAAAATAAATACCATATAACAAAATCCGGGGGATATATATCGGCTTGCGTAAGATTGACTTTCATCGAGCCGTTCGTACGAAATTTATTTGGAGAACTTCCAATCTATGATAAATCCATTTAACAGTTAAAATCGATATTGTATTTCGGTAATTACACGACATTAAATGAAACTAAATAAAAAATTATGTATTTTATAGAAATTTCTATAAAATTTTATAGGGACTAGCTAATGTATAGCAATATTTTTATTTTTCTATGATATTGAAATTACTTCAGCACTTCTATCATCCGAGACAAATTCATAAATGAAAATTGTAATATTATATTTTGATAGTACAATAGAAGTAATAGAATGGTGAAAACAATTAATACTATAACGATCGGTGGTCAATGACGTCACGTGATCTTCAATAGTTAATAAAAAATATGCTATAATAGGTTGTAAATATATATAATAAGTTGAAGTATATGCGTTTTATTGTAACAAAAATCAGATTTCATCAATTCTTCATACATTTTTGTAAATTCGCCGATCTCTGTTCTAACGTTCTTATGCATGTTCAATGTCTGTTTCATTTTTTTTATTTTTTTTTTTTATTTAATTGTAATTTAACTTGTTTAAACAAAAACAAACCCACAAATAGGAAACCAGGACGAGAACTTTTCGCTTCATTTCGTGAGGAGCAACGATTACGTCTACTCGTGAAACGAATTTGGAAAGTGAAACTATTGAAAGGACTGTACTGTTTCTACATTTGTCTTCCACGTTAGGTAAGATTTCCAATTCTATATACTCTGTTTAGACTCGAATTCTTCCTCTCAGATAGACTCAATTTCTGAACTTCAAAATTAGTTTGCAATAAGTTACTTTCGAAAAGTAACGAGCTATAATATATAATATTTTCCTACTTGATAATTAGAACTATAAATATTTATGTGAATTCTTCTAAAAGTATAATTCAAACAATGAAAACCTAGGCAAAAGAAAAAAATGGTGTCGTCGGCTGAATATTATAAAACGTGAATTGAAACATTTGAATTTCAAATTTAAAGATACGACTAATACAAAAAACATAAGATATCAATAATAACAAGGCAACATGTTTGTTTGAAAGTTGAGATACGTAGAAACTTACTGGTAAGCATTTTGGTGACAGCTGGTGCTATGTTGATGTCCGTCAAGCATTCGTAACTACCAGAGTGGAACAATCGCAGCACGGCGCTATTGTGCAAAGAGATCCAAACTCCTAGCCCACCGGAACTCGCCATGCAGGAAACCGACAATGATGTGTCGTTGCTAACGGCGAATGTGTGTTCTATGTCCAGCGTGTTGGTGTTGAGGATTTTTACGGAATTGTGGCAGCCGCACCAAAGTTTCCCAGACACTGGAAGCATCTTCGTCACTGGAGAAGCCACTGTGCCCACCGAGACTGTCGTCGGATCGGATGTGTTCCAACCACCCACTGTAATTGAACGATAATTTATTATTTTTATATAGTGTCAAATACTGAGAGTATCTGACTCACGTTACAAATATGCCAAAGATACTTTACAGAACAAGTTTTAGGATTGTTTGAATAATTTAATAATTTAATAATTTACAATCCAATATTCTATTATTAATGTTGTAAAATTTAAATTTTACGTATTTGCATAATTGTGGCAAGCGCGAAGTGTGACTTACTGTGATCTCTAGAGTAGACAGTGATGTCTCCGTTAGCGAGTGACACGAACACTTTATTGTCTAAATATCTGAAATATCAAATATTATTAAAATTATAAAACGAAATGAAAGAAACTGTAACTGCAGGCCAAAGAAAATAATGAAATTACCTAAGATTTTGTCGAAATTATCAATGAGATATATTAATTTGTATGTATTAGGATGAATAAAGAAAATTTGAGAAATCTTACATGATGCAATGCACACTGCTATTGTGTTGTATTTTCACTTTGTTCTTCTTTATCCTGATGTTATCGTTGCAATTGTACACGTGAATGCATCCATCTTCAGTCCCCAGCCACATGGTTGGTTGGTTGACATCCTCTTCCGTTGTTACGTTATCAATACTCGGAACGTCGCTGCTCAAAGCCAGGCTACCCGTATCTGCACATGGAATGTCGTCCGAGTCCGAGTCGTCGGAGCTCGAGCTACTGCAAAACACCTTTCTTAGATTAATCGTGAAGCCTACCGATAATGACGTAAAATAATGTACTAGAAGTTGCTCCAAAACAGGTTCCTGACGTGTGCAGAAAAGAAACATATTAGTCAAACTTAAAATAGTTTTAAAGAAGAAATTTTATAATAATGACATTTATTATATTCAATTATAACATTACGAGTAACTTATAATAAATAAATAATGTAAAATAATTTTTTATAAATTTTTGAAATTTTATAAATTTTTGATATTTAAAAATAATCACTTGTCTTTTTTACTAATATGTTTTTGACTGCAGCAGGAAGAACCTATTTTTTAGTACATGAATATATACATATATGGCATTTTTATAATGGATATGTAACATAAAATGACATAAAACGTATGATACGATCGTAAGATATTCTATAACAAGAAATCAACCGATAATTAATATCACTTTAAAAATGGAAAATGTAAGAAGTGACGGAATTACTGGTTAGAATTTTTTTCTTCTCGACATGCAGCATGTATGCTCAGTGAAATTTTCAGTTATCGTTCGTTATTACGAGTTGACTCCTCGTTATACAACACTATTTCGTTCCGATTCAAACTTTCAGTCAAGAGTATTACCTATCTAACTGTATGTTCCCGCCACTGGCATCGACATCCTGGACCGAGATGCTTATGCCGCTCTTACTGTTCGCGAATGAAATGTTGTTAGTCACGCACGAATTCGATCTAAAATATAATACAAATAAAGTAAGGTCCCTTTCTACTAGTCTACAAAATATTACAAAAAGAAAGAAAAGAAGAAAAAAAAGAAGAAGTTACCCTTTAAAAGTACCTTAACATTTTAACCGTTTCTTTTTCTCTTTAAAAGGACCTCTTATAGTATCAAATACATACATACATATATCCCATGTTGCTTGAAACTTTTTAGACAATTGTTGTCACATTTCATTGGACAGATGTACTAAACTGATGATACGATATTAATAACATTGTGAAGATATTAGGTCGTTTCATAACTTTCGTCGCTTTCTTTTTTTATTGAAAATTTGATACGAATACGGATAGAATAATGTTCAAAATTCTTTCTCGTTTTGTATTAAATTTTTCTTATAAAATTTCCATGACGACAAAATTTAATCCAAATTTCCCCCTCAGAAAGCTTAAAAAAATTATTTTTGTACGTTTAGAATTTACAAATAAATTGGATTTGAATATTATCAAATATCTTGTTCTATGCAACTTGTAAACTATACAAAGTGATACAGACCTAATTGTATCGATTGCCATTTTTTTTCAAGTAGTAACACACAAAGTGATTTTCTTACTTTTAGCAGAAATTTTCTTTACTGCAAACTAAATATTAATCACGAAGGAAACCACGCAACTTACGAAACAGCCTATAGATTCTTATTTTAGAACACAATGTCTCATTGATTAACAGAATTTCAACACAGGGATGAAATGTTTCCCCAAAAATCTCGCAATCTCGCGTTCAGAAGCTTCGAGCAACAGAAATTGCAAGAACTCCTGACGAAAGCCCCAGCTCACACCGCCAGCCTTCCAAAGTAGAAAGAGGACTCTCACCTTTGTGTGCACGCTGGAATTCCCGCGACACACAGGATCCTCGCGTTACAGACTCCGTTGCAAGATATCACCTGCGGTGGTTCCGGGGTGAGACTCAACACGCACACCTGACCCACGTAGCCGTCGCTGTTGCACACCCAAACATCCCTAGAGCCCTGTCCATTGGCCAAAGTGGGTGCAGCGCAGGTGAACTGCAAGCCAGCTCGAGTCTTTCGTATCGGCAGAGGTCCCACAAATTCTGGGCAGGGCCTCCTGTCAGCGGACAACGCTGTAAGTCGAGACACATCGGCAGAGGTCAGAAATATACGTGTTTCTAAACGGACTATGGCGGATCTCGCGAGGTTTGACCAGGTTCAAAAACGTTTTTCATGCGTCTGTCTTATCATAGAAACGAGCAAGAGAGATTTTGTAAAATGGAAACTTTTCTTTATTACTCTTTCTGTATCTCTTCCGTTTTTTTCTTTTCTTTTTCTTCTATTTAATCTAGCATCCTCTGACTTATATTTGGTCCAATTAAGAATACCTCTTGGGTACGAACACTTGGATTTGACGACACGAATGAGGTGAAAATGACTGAAGTTTTTTTTAAAAGCAACAACAACCATGTTAAGTAATAGATTAATTAATAGCTTTGGATGTGTAAACAACCGGCTCGTATTTCTGTAATAAATTGTATAAAATGGGCATGGATTTGATTGATTATTATTACGTTTTCGACCATGCTTTCGAACTAACATTTTTCCAAACTTATATGAACGATGAGTTCTGATTTTCTATTTATTATTTGCCCATCTGGCCTACAACATTAGATTAGAGTTAAGTCTCTGAATGATCAAATCTCGTGAATCTCACGACAGTCGCTGTTTGTCACAACTCACCTAACTTCTGTTTGGCCTCGTTGAAGCTCTCCTCCCAGCTGGCTCTTTTGTCCGGCTTCGTGAACATCACGGAAATGTTCTCGATCCCAGCTCTGGAAACACATGAGGAACTAACTGACGAGTTGCTGGAAGTCACGTTTGCTTGTTGGACACGGTTCGACGCACGTGGATCAGAAACGTGAGGCGAATAATGTGCAAAAGAAAGAAAAAAAAATACGCTCATTGTGAGGCTGTACCGCTTTGTGAATGGCTAATGGGATGGAATGTCGTCGTTCGATAAACTGTCACCATGCACAGCTTCGAATGGGGTATTTTCTTCGTTGTCCTTTCGGATGAAATTCACCAGCGATGTCGTTTGTTAGGTAAATGACATTCGCGCGCGAAGAATGACGCATCGGAACGGGGGAAACGGGGCTCGTTTAATAGGAACTATTATGAATTATGGTTGGGATTCATGGGCCATGAAAATGCTTTTCATGTCGTGGGGTATATAGCCGAGTCTCAGGTATTCAGAACGAAGAAACGTTTGATAGAGATGAAAGTATCGGTGGTAAAATATAATTAAATTTCTATTGTTACATTTTTGTCAAATGTTTCAATTTTCTCACGTGTCTACTATTTTAATTTGTTTCGAAACATTTTATATAATTAAGACTGATTCAGATAATTTTTAAAAATTCTTTTTTTTTTAATTGTATATAATAGAAATATTTTAAAACTACTAGTTCAATTATGCTCTTCATTAGACATCTAAAATTGTTTCTTTCTTTCTATTGCATTTACCATCTCTGAAATCGAATATATCTTAAAAAATTGGAACAATTTATTTTATTTTAAAAGGCGATTCACCGATAAACACTGCCAAAATTTATGTTAATAATCCATATCCGAAACTTTCAGTCGTCTCTAACATTTTAAAGAAACTTCTGATAACTTGACAAAAATTTTATACATCTGAATATGTAAGATTACTAAAAATTATGATACAATGAAGCAGCTTTCCGCATCGTAGAGCACAATAACCTCCGAGATAATGAATAAGTGAATATATTTGTTAAATTTTTCATTGACATTTCAATAGCAGGTATTTTGAAACGCTTCAACGTAGGATGTAATGATACGTGAAAGTTTTGATGTGTCACTTACTGTGTGTTAAGCGTTAATTCCAGACAAGCCAACTGCGAATGCGCCGCGTTCCTTTCAGCTAATTGACGCTGCGCCTGGCTCAACATATCCTTGATAAGATCCTCTAATTGTTGCCTCGCACCGTGCAACGTGGCCGCGAGTTCCTGAAGCTGAGTCAACGTTGCACAGTCCTCTCGAAGATGGTCTACTTCGCGGACCATTCGCCTCAGGTTCTCATCTTTGGCTGGCGAGAAAGAAAAAAAAAAATTTTCATCGCTTTATTTAGCACTTGTTAATACCGTGGTATTAAAGAATTAAGTAAATGAACAAAGAATTTAGCAGTTTCTTCACTCGTACCTTTCATAACTTCTAGATCGTCCAGCGGTATTCTCATTAACATTTTGTACTTGTTTGCTTCGAGTAGGCCAACCAGACTGTTCGGGCAAGAACTATCGACAGAGAAAAAAATATCCACATACAGAAATAATAAACAATAATATTTAACACGTGAGAAAACACAATGAATTTAATAAATAAAGTATTGGGAATATGAAAAGCAACTACACTTTCTTTACTGCGACATCGTTAATGAAAATATTAATAAATATTAAATTATTGATATCATTAAACGTCGAATGTTAATTTATTAAAAATGTTGACAAGCTTAATCGCAGCGATACAGAAAACGTGGACAGAATTGGACGTTAAAATATAATAATCGAAAAAGAAAGAAAAAATTAAAATTTCCAATGAATCAATTATCGACTCACGTCGACGGTTTTCTTATGGTGCCGCTTCTCCTCTTGATGCTCGTGATGACAAGCAGATCGGAGAACAGAAATAGTGCACGTTCCTTTCTGGTTCCTTGGTTCGATGCTATGGTGACAAGATCGTGGCGTACGAATGCTCTGCGGCAAAAATAGACGCGTCAATTCAGATGAATCTTTTTGTTTTCATAGCAATTTCTACCGCGACACGCATCGGTATTGGGAATCGATACGGCCTGCACGCTGAAAGGCTGAATAGTTCATGAAATGAAGAAGCGAGTGCAACGTTTTACGCGCGGCTATACCATCACCGCCAGGCTCTATTGTGCGTTCAACTTCTTTCAATCTTTTTTCCCCTTTATTTTCTCGCGCGATCGTGTACGTAAACACGAGGCTCGTAAATGATATCTAAATTAAGTTTTCAAAACGTTCCGCTCTTCTTCAATAGTCGCATCGAACGTTATTATGCGAGACGTTCATACCTGTTAGAAGCTTGTAACGTTCAATCGCTCGATATTTCAAAAAGAGAATTCACATTCTATAAGTTGTAGGAACTGAAAGAATGAGGTTACGACGTTCGATTAATCTCTACTCGTTCCTATTTAATTCCTATTAATATTCTAAAATTCTTCTCGTAGTGTTGAAACGGAAACAAAACTCGCCGACAAGGGAGAAGTACGTTCCTGTTATTTTCATTAATTGCTCGTGTGTTTTATAGTTTTTTTAAATAATGAATCTCTATCCTAGTATGCGTTGTAAAGAATCAATTATTTATATATATATATTTCAATCTCCTTCAGAAACTTTTAGAACTTTTTACATCCTCAGGATCAACAGATATGTACGATATATTAAATAATCTGTCAGTTTCGCCTCAATTTTTTTTCAGAACTCAAATTTTTCGCTCAGTTTTTTAACAGAGCATGTTAACTTGTCAATGGAAGTTAACTTGTCCTGCCGGAGCTGGAGAAGCACTTTCCAATGACGAATTAACTCATCGTCTCGAAGGACCAAACGCACGTCACAGAAATGAAAATCAGTTCACCTATCGTTCGTCACGATACCAGCCAATCCTTCGACGAGCGCCTGAACCTCCCTCAACGTAGTTTGCTGTTGCTCCCACTCGAGGGACTCCCTTTCCGTGCAATTGATTTTTACAACTAACTCGTGCACCTCCTTCTGAGCAGTTTGCAGCAACTCGAAATCCGGATGCGTGGCGTCGGTGTGTTTCAACAGCCTCTGGATCAGCAGCTCGTAACGTGGTATCTTCTGCACCGGTTTGATCAATAACTGATCCAGCCCAAGTTTTCCTTTGTGCTCCCGTTCCATTGTCTGCCGCGTGCAAATTGACCAATTTTACCAAACGAACAGATTATTCGGCAGAATAGAGAAACGTGATAAACGGAGGGAACTTGTTTCGTTTCGAGCGCCTTGAAATTTACAATTTCAGGAAAAAGGAAATTTGACTTTAAGAAACTTGCCAGACCAGGAAAGTGTCCAGCAGTAATTAAATTTCGAATATTTCCGTGCGGATTCGAGTCTTTCTGAATCTAAACGTAAGGTTTAGCATCAATTAAAATTCAAGGTTTAGAATCAAATTAAATTTCGAATATTTCCGTGCGGATTCGAGTCTTTCTGAATCTAAACGTAAGGTTCTTCTGCCCGCCAAATATTATAATGCAATTGAAATTTGACGAACATTTGTGCAATTTTTCCGACTCACGATAGAATTTAGACAGAAATTTGTATTTTATACTACCCGTCATCATTTCTTGCATTAAACATCCACGGTTTTGTTGTATTAAAAATGCTCGAGATAACAGGCAAAGGAATTTCCTTGTTTGAAATTTACAATGAAAAAGTTGTCCAATTCGTTTTTCGTTGGCTTTGAGGAATATTATACGATACGACAAAGCACAGTAGTTACTGTCGCCGCAATGCGCGAGATAAAAATGCTAATTGGAAGCGAGGGCAAGATGAGAAAGAATGGTTGGTATACCTCGAGGAATCGCGCGAAAGCAGGCTTCGCTTGGCAAGTCGTTTTTATCGCTTTCCTCGCGGACTTCCAATTATCAAGGAAAAGGGTGTAAGTCTCCAGGACGACTGGCTTGGTGAACTACGGAAAAGACAGCGTATAATGAATAATAAGCAGAAAAACAATCCTATGTATAACATTGTTAGCGAGTTAGAATGCTCTTTGCGCGGTCCGGGAAGTTTCCAGCGAAATTGAAGATAAACTTCAACGGTATTTTTATCGAACAGAACGGATTAAAATTTTGTGGAACTTTCTTCCCGCGTTGCTTCTTAAGAAACTCATTTTTTTTCTCTCAATGACATTTAAATGTTTCGAGGTAACTTTTGCGAGCTAAAATAAAAAATTGAGTAGACATTTTCTCGCCGTGAAATTTTTATAATGACTAAATTAAGTGACGTGGAACGTAATGCAAAGAATAAGAGTGAATGTAGAACATAATAATGAAAAAGATGGTGATAAAGATTTTAATTAAGACTCGATAATTCTTTGCGTGTTCTTCATCGACAGACAAGAAACTATCCCTTATCTCTTATTAATCAATCTCATGTCCTTTCATTTCACTATCGCGTTCAACGCACAATTAAAGGAATTATTTATTGAAATTCGACGTTTCATTGCTCGGCTCAGAGATTTGTGACAAATACTTAAAAAAAGGTACACAGATGAAAAGCAACTTTAATTGGAGAAAGTGAATGTTTTCATTGAATAAAACGACGGGGTGTTTGACAGGGAAACGTACCACGTCGAGGAAAACATCGCCAATCGTCTGCTTCAGCTCCCAAGTATCCAGTTTTTTACGTAACTCCTCCAGGAACACCTTGTGATGATTGAGGATAGAAGGAATCTGAAACACGCGCGTACAAACTTCTTTTTGACAACTCACTTCGCCCAAGTGTGTATTTCTCTGAAAGTATTCGAGTAAAAAATATCTAGAAACTTCATAAAATGCTGAAAGTTCGTGGAACAAACGAAGCCCACACACATCGATCGAGCTCTTGATATTTAATTTTAACAAAGTTTCAGTTTCGCAGTAAAACATGATTACCGTTTGAACAGAACCGCATCGCAAGTAATCTCGTTCCTCTTACGATAGAATCACAATAATCGTTTACTACCTGGTAATTAAAAACGCAATTTAGCACGAGTATCAAACGGATACTGATGACTGCGCGATTCGTGTTCTAACGCTCGATAACATGGTATCTTGTGCTCGTTTCGTTGTGCACGTTGCCGTTAACCTTTGCGTGTTCACGATTGCAGCGATTAAGAATTAATTAACGATTGTTTCCATCGTCAGGAAGATTGGAAGTCAAACGCTGGGAAGCGCACGTTCGTCCGATGGTTCAACAAGTTAATTGGAAAGTCGGCCAAACATCGATCGAGTGAACGAGTGTTAAAGGAATTCACGCCACGACAGGACGTGATTTCACTTTCGTTTCGTTTTTTCTTTTTTTTTTTTTTTTATCGAGTAGCTTTGCCGTTTGTACTCGCGCAACTTCCACACGAGCTCAGGTTTCGTGGAATTTATCAAGTAGAACGAAGCGTATATGGTCAGACGCGCGTGCAGGGAATATTGCGTTTGAGGAATACTCTTACGTGGACTTTTCCGTGCAATATGAGTATTTGATTAAGACTTTTGTCTTTTGTACGTTTGTACATTGTAATTTTCATACGTCGTATAATTAGATTAATATTTGAACAGTTATATATGCGCGTGTAGGAGTAATAAATAAATTTTTCGATTTGATGGCGTGAGGTGTATCTCTGTGAATTATTTTTGGACGATTTGATTTAATTGCGATTTTATAAAATATGTTTCTAGACTCTTCGGTGTATAAGCTATAGCGGTGATTACAAATTTACCTGATAGAAGATTTCGTCCACCGTCGCTGCGTCCACCAAACCTGCATTTTCGGGGCTCTTCAATGGTTGCAGATATTTCTGAAACAAAACAAAAATTTAATTTATTTGGCAATTATCTATCTCTCAACATAATGCAAAATATATATATTTAATCGATTCTCTGAATTTTTCCTTCGTTTTTTTCCTGTTCCTCATTTATGGGAAATTTATATAATATTCAAAGTATAATACATCCTATAATATTCAATAACTAAAATTTGGATAAAATTAACAGCTAAACATATATATAATAACCAAAATAATTTTCTAATTAAGTTCCATTATTTTAATTACCTCCGTAAAAAATACAAAATTGCACAAACATCCACAGTCTATCGTGTGTAATATAAAATTGTTTCTAAACACAATTTCATATTTATAATAAATTAAAAATATCATAATACCATCAATATTACATGTTGTTTCTTTTAACAAATAACTGATAAAGAATAACGCGAATCAACTGTTAAATATTTATATCTTTCTATGATTATTAATTTTATTACGATAGATCATATCAATAACATAAAATGAACGAGAAATAATTTTTAATTATGTATTACATTTACAATATTTATTTACATTTCAAAATAAGTATTATCTTGCCAACATAATTTCTATGCATAATATACTATATCATACTGCTCTCGTCTGCATCGAGGAATCAACTTTTATTCGATCGATCGATCGGAACGAAATTTCGTGGGCTTACGCAACGCGCAGCGGCAAAATGGAAAAACCTTTATTATCAACGTGAGCAAATAACAGGCATCGTTCACATTGAGAATCGCACAGAACGAAACTCCGATTGATCACGGAAAGAGACAAAAGGATCGATCGAGATGCAACGTGAGCAACGTGACGAATTGGATCTAAGGTACTCCGCGGATGTTTAACTTTCGGAGAGTGGATAGCTGTGTTGAGGATATTTTTAGCGACTCGTATGCTAATGGCTCGCGGGATTAGGCCGGACAAAAAGGTCTAATGGATTTTAATGTAATATACGACGCGTTTGGGAAAGTGACGAGCAGATCTTCCGCTGGAGAAGTTTTAAATTCGAGAGTTAAGTGCGTATGCCCAAGGATACGTCTATAACGTGGCTATGAATCACGAATTTAAACAAAGCTGCGTACATAAAGTGTTGAATACATTTCCTGTTTTGAAAAGATCGTTCACTCTATGGTTAATGCAACTGTAGCAAAATGTACGGTATTCGTTGTCAATGAGAACGAGATGACTCACTTGTACGAGATTTTTTTTTGGTATTTTAACAATTAGACCAGCGATTTCCACACGAATATTTATATTTTTTATGAATATATATAATACCGATGGAATATTGTTTTACGGAGTGTATTGGTAATTTTATGAAATATTAATTGATACATGGAAGATTAATTTCTTAACTATTGCGCTCTTCGGTATTTCATTCTTCTATATCTATAATTACAAATTTAATTAATATCTATATTTACAATTTAATTAAATTTCTATGTTATTTAAAACAAAAGAAAGCGGACATTCTTTTAACCGTGTTCCACCGAGCACTTGAAAACTGATTGCCAATGAAATTCAACCCCCTTTATGAAACATCTATCGAGAGTATTATACTGAAAAGTTATTGATTTCGTTATATGAAAAATAATGGAACCTATTAAAGTCACAAGCTGAAGCTTCGAAATAACGAACCCATTTATGGCAAAAATTAAAATGTATCTAACAATAACGTAATCACGTATATATAAAATACTATGAAATAAAAATGTCTTGCAATAACCACCTTGAAAGAATAATAAAGGCATTTAGTAACAGTTTCTATTGATAGAAAGGAAAAAAAAAAAACGAAAAATTTGAAACTCCAGCAACATAATAAAAAATGACTTTAATAACGGGACATTTCTATCGTAAATCTCGTTCAAGGGGATGAATTAGCATCGACTCGCGATCACTAGCGAAACCTTTCTATTATTTTTCCAAGCCAAAGCGACGACATGAAAATTGCCAGCTCGAACAACAATCATCGTGGACTGTACTGTTTATAAAATATGACAGTCAAACGTTTCGCGATGTACACGAACGGTGTTGCGGAATTTGAATTCTTCTGGCGAATCGGACAAAAAAATTTCGAGACTGGAGTCGTATTTTCGCGTGTTTACATTGACGTTGGCATTTTTAATATCCTCCTCGTAAAATATGCGACGATTCCTCGGAAGGGAATCGAAGAATTCGAATTTCTAATCCGATACATTGATTTATTAAGTTACTCAGAGTCTTAAATCAAAGTATCAAATTAAAAATAATACCACTTCCGAAGACTTCACGTCTTTTCAAATCGAGATTCTCCTTTTATTTGTACTTATCCTCTTTGAATTCTCCTTCAACAATATACTCGTTTCTTGAACATCGTTTTTCCTTCATTTTTCTTTTTATCCATTCATTTGGTAACGAAATGAACGATATACTTGTTTAATGTTCCAAGGAACATTTGAAGAGGAAAACAATTCGAAGCTGTAACACCATTGAAACGATAGCTCAGCCTATTTTTCATTCGCCGAAACTAAATGAAGTATTCTAGAGGAATACAGTGTTGCGAAATCTATAATTATTATTTACAGAACAAAAGCTCTCGAAACGAAAGCTTCATTTATATTTCATCCGTCGGGCTAAATAAAATATATTCCGCGTGAATGTGCAATGGTGCACGTTCGTCACGATTCACCGCGTGGTGTATGAAAAGGAAGAATTTAATAATCCTCGTGAAGCCGTCAGATGAATTTCACTCCCCCTGGCGTATAAAACTGGATCGCGGGAAATAAATAAACTGTCAGAAACCGAGCGTTGTTACCATTATTAACATTAGAATCAATGGCCACACAGCCCGATAGAACGAGATCGTATTTTTATCAGTTTCTGTGTTCGACGAACCGTGTCGGTCCATCGAATTTCATAGTAAATTGTTTACAAGAAACTATCTGGCCTCGTAAATATCTGGAAACGGTACGTGCACACGATTCGAAAATAAACGAACGCCGAAACGATTCGCCGATATGTAAATTAGATTAATACTCTACGACGTTCGTAGACGTGTGGTACGAATGGAAAAAAAAAAATTGTACATTTACATGTGAACGAATATTTTTATTACGTTTCTTAAAAGTTGGCCAAGCTCTAAAACACTTTCCACATCGAGCAAAATGTCGAACATACGTAACGGATCGTTTCAATATTTTATTCAAAATACGTCAAAACATATTTCAGATAAATCAATACTTTGTTCCCCGATTATTTCGATCCTTCGGACATCATAACGTTCAACCCTCGAATCAATATCGATGGACAGATGACCATAGTAATTTACGTCAGATAACTGAAATTTAGGATACTCGATTTTATATCTGATATCGTACCGAAATTAATCCTCCACGACAGACGTATTAGTAAAATTTAATTAAATTAAATTTAATTAAATTAAATTCAGAATCCTGTAGAACCGAGTAGTAATTCCACCTTAAATTTTCACACAAAATATTCCAACGATGTTAACTGAAACTCAAGAATGTATCAAAATCTAGAATTAACAACCCTTCCAATTTAAATGATCCTCGCTTCCTTTAAACCTTTCAGAGACATTTTCAATAAAATACCGATGCAACACGAAACAAAACAACATTGTAAAAAAAAAAAAACAAAAATCGTATGCAACAACGCGTTTAAAAGTTCTATTCGCGTTCTAATACACGGAAGCTTATTCGCCTATCCGATCACATTCTGCGAACCTCCGCTGCACTACGATCAACGAATCGACGTTGAACTCGGCAGCTCTACGCGAACCGAGCCGATTGAATATTCCAGCGAGATTTTCCATCGCTATATATTCGTCGAAAGTACAGCGGAGTTTCTGAGAATGCAGCGTTTCTGGCTGCATCGGTATGGCCGATCGTAAAATAGCGGCCGGCGACTGACACATCGATACGAGCAAATAAATCTGGGAATCACGTCTGCCGACATCGAGGGTCGGCTATTAAATTCAGAACACGCGCTGCGACGCAGGGTCGCGATGCTTCGCCGCCCATTTACTCGTCCATTTTCAAACGCATTTTGTTTACGACCCGCGGGGCTGCGGCTTTTTACGCAAGTCCATATTTTCGCAGGCATAATCGAAACGACGGAACGTTGTTTCCACGCTGTGAAAATAAAGTGTCTCGCGTCGACTTTTATGCGGGTTCATATTTTTGCAAAATATAATCAACAAGACAGGGCGCGAGCTCTACGTTTGTGAAAATAAAGCGTTCCGCGCGGCAAATATAGAAAGTTATCTGGCGTATCTCGGATATTTTATCATATCGTGCGCGTACTCCGTGAAACGTTGCGCCTTAATCCACCACCTCGCGAGCAACCGAAACTTCACTCGTGAAATGTGTTTGTTCCTAACGAAGAACCTGCTGATTATTATGATATAATAAAAACTGATTTTACAATGCGATCATCCGCTTCGTCCTAGAAACATCTTTCAGAAGATTCGAGTTGAAAACTGATTTTGTGATATAACGAAAACTTCATTAAGTATAATAAAACAAAATTCTGCAAGCTGGAACAGTAAAAAAAAAAAAAAAAAAGAAAAAAATTACGTGTAGACACGAACGATTCAGCTGGTCGAAATACCCTACAGAGGCGTAAAAATCCGCAAACTATTTGCAAGAGACGATCGTCTTTCCGCGATCGCGTCGTGTAGCAGGAGACAGCGCTGTAATTACCGACGATTAATTATCGGGCGAACAGCCTTCGAACGTGAATACTAGAACGAAACTCGAAATGCCCACGGCTTCCTTAAATGTCAAACGACGAGGAAACGATGAACGATTGATTTTCTTCCGTTCGCGAGTTCTCTGAAGTTCTTCATTGTCCCCGGGAACGGACGAAAGGGGAAAGATTCGGACGCGAAGATTATGAAGCTGTAACGAGAATTTGCATTTCGCGCAAACGTAGGCTAACAAGAGAAAATATCGTTTTCACGGAAACGTAATAAAACGAAACGCTCTGCGCGAATCTCTCTTTTTTTTTTTTTTTTCTCCATTCCCCTGTAAATTTCACCTTTGACCTTTGCAGGAGAAGTGACGCGTTTCCCCGTAAAACGAGAGAACTGCCGCTGTTCGTTGCGAGAATTAATTAGTTTTTTGTTGGCAGAAATTATACTTTTATAGAAATTTTCGTCGTGTAATTTATAATACGAGTTGATGGAAGGGGAAAGAGTGCAAATAGTATGACGATGGCAAAACAATATATATCAAAGCACGTCGAAGCTTGTTATAAAAATCTAAATTAAGTTTCTTACTCCTTTTGCGACGTTTGCAAAAATTCCAGCTTATCGCTGGAATTGTAATTTCAGATTCTGAACAATGTTATATTTAGATTCTACTAAAAGAAAAGTGTACCCCAAAATGGGAGAGAAAAGGAGACGCATTACACGAAAACTTGTTGCAGCATCGTCTCATCTCGTTCGATGATCTCGAGAATTCATCGCGATACGTTTACAGTAATTCGGATGGCGACGCGTTTAATGGAAACAACAGGCCAGCGATGCGAGGCTGCATAACTTAACGAGAAGCTTTTCACGAAGTAGATCACTCGAGTGGAATCCTTGCTTGAACGAAGCAAATAAACGGGCAACGAGCTTGTTTACGAGAAACAAGGTCGCGGCTACCATGTTTCGAAGAACTTTCGAAAAGCACATCTCTCAGTCGACATGCGTGCCCATGATCCCTAGCAGGAGGAACAAGAACGTATCTACATGTATGTCGTTCTAAGTTGTGTGTTTTAATCGTGGTTACATGTCTCTAAAAAGATTACATTCGAAAAGGAGGAATTCTACGGAAAAAAGAAATTGATCATATTCTCTGTCTTTTGCAGAAAAGCAGTCTCGAAATTTGGAATTAAAATTAATACTCTTTTGTTCTAATTCTAATGGAAATGCAAATTCAATGTTTACAATTTTAGTCTAAAATTTTATTTTAATTGTCGAAAATTTCGACGTAACGTTTAGCCTATTTATTCCTCACTTTTTATACGCATCCGTCATTATCAGCGGGCCAGTGAAAAATTGATTTTCATTGGAAAGTCACAATATCGTATACGATGTTATGAAGTTCACAAGCATGCTCGATATAATTTGCAACGGCATTGTTAAGTGTCGAAACGAAATGAATGTTGTTGAAATTTTGCGAAATAATGCTGTCGACGTCTATTATTATACACGATGTCGGTGTTACGCGTTCGGCGATACGAGGGGCGGAGAGGGGGTGGACAGAGGAGGGGGGAGAGCATTCGTGGGGTGAATCGAACGCCGATGAAAGCGCAGGCTCGGATGGAATTTCGAGAGGGTGCATTGTTGTTTCACGCGGCGAAATTACATCGATCTGCCAGTTTTATCAAAACACCGTTTACACTACTCACATTGACTAGTATTTGCAGTGCCTCCACGTAGGATCGTTCCGTATCGTACAATTCCACCACTACGTGGGTCCTTGTATCCTGAAAAAACAGAATTAACGATTACCCTGGTTGTCGAAGATGACATTTTGTAAATTTCAAGACCCTTGTCGTTCAAAGAACAACTAAGCTACTACGCTACGTGGAGAATATTCGAAAAGTCCTTTGTCTTTGCGAGGGTGGAAAAGAGAAGCGGGATGAGCGCTGATAAACATGCAAAGATGTGCTAGAATGATGCGAGAGTTGCATATTTGAAATAAAAAGCACAAGCCGCTCTTCCGTCTGTGCAAATTATATTTAAAATTGAAACAAAAGGCAACGGTCCCCGCGGATCACAATCGTCGTGGTTTATTTTATTTCCACGTTAACTGGAATTAATCGGAATATCGGTTTTCTTAACTCGGTGATCTTGCTGAAGAGAGCTGCGGACTGTCGCACGGTATATATCGCAGTATCGATCGATTTACATTCAATTTAATCCGCCAGTATTTGTAATTGTAATTATATAAAGAACGTCCTGTTTACTCGGTAAACAGCCAATAGTGGCAAGATCAAAGAAAATTAATAGCCGAGCTTCGAGAAGGAATGTTCCAATTACGAGGCCGTATTAAGTTAAGTGCGTAATATATAATGATAAATATAACCAAGGATCAGAATCGATCTCAAATGAACACTGAAATGGAAAGAAATGTTTTCTGAGTGATAAGTGAATACGAAAACCTAATTCATCGAGAATTTAAAACTTTAGACAGTTGATCTAGGTTAACTGTAGTTGTTACAATTCGAGGTATTCGGAGTTAATTTGAATCCAATAGGAAACGGGTGTACTGTGACGTATTTCGTTAGCAGCCATTGCATTCAGCTTCTTCAGAGGTCAATACCAACGTGACACTTGACCCCCGAAGAAGCTGGCTGCATTGCTAGCGAAATGTCAGAATGTAATTCTCATTCAATACGACCTACACCCGAAAGATTCGAATTGTCACAAAAACCAAACGTGCCAAGAGCTGTTCGCGTATAATATAATCCCAACTTTCGAATTTTCTGATTTCGTACGAAAATTGAAAATAGCGACTAACAAACTGTAGTAAATGGAATTATGGACTTGAGAATCGTTCAAGAATATTTCAAAAGTGTATTTCGAGCAATCTCTCGTTAATTTTTATAAAAGTATGTACCAATTTTGGCATTATGCGAATGAAATATTTGAAAAATGTAGGTATTTTATTTGACGAAATATAACGATGGGTGTTAAAATTATTTACTACGAAACAAAGTTGTGACATCTCGAACGATTCGAGGGACGTTCTAAAAAATTTTTCAATTCTTCTAATGTTTTAACATTAATACAAATTCGAAATTATTTTGTGAAAATCCTGGAGAGCGGGACAAATCTCGCGGCACCGTGATAAAGATCGCACGTGTCCACGTATCGGACAGAACACGTGTCAATGCTCACGTGTATATTGACATCGTCCTGATTACCAATAAAACTATTGTCAGTCACGTAACACGTAAGACGTAACAGATATTCTTATGACACGAGTTTAAATCTACTGTTAGATAATCGCAATTGACCATTATGATATAAATATCGATTAAGTTTTGCCCACGCGTTCTATATGTTTCAATTTTCTGCTCATTGTTATCACCGAATGCACTATTCAACAATTTTTAATAAAATTATTCTATAAAAAATATTTAAACAGGAAAATAAGTTTAACACTTTATCCGTACATATCGTATCATATTTAATCGTGCGTGCATATTTGTATAAAATCTATAAAAAGAAACCTGTTCCTTTAAGTAGTATCGTTGAGGCACAGATCACTATAGTAATTCATGTTACATTACAAAAATTCGAATTGTGTTTAATTTCACTATGTATTTTATTAATTAGTGTCTAATAAAAATCAATCAAGTGAAAAATTCCAAGTGAATTAAGCTTGAATTGTTACAGCTGCCAATTGTTACGACACGGCGATGCTAGTTGAGAATTAATTCGCTAAAATCTATAGTAATATTCAAATAACCCTCCGTGGCATAACTAGTTCCCTTTCATAAATACTTCCTCCGAGGCATAACTCAGATAATTCCTCTGAAAAATCTGCACTTTCATCCGGGACAGATTATTTGTCACATCGTTGCATTCACGTCCGAACGAAACAGAAAAAGGGGAAAAAAATTCTCGTCTTTCTCCCGGGCTGCGTTGCAAATTATACAACTTCCTACGTATCTTCCACGGGAAACGTCCAATGAAGCGCGATTTTATACAGAGGGGGAACGAAGGGCAGATGGAATGGCAAACACGCGCGGTGTTCTTTTCGAACGTGCGTGAGCTAATGAACTCGCGTGTAATAATCGACGCGATTCGATGGAAAAGATAAAGCTCGCGTCGGCTGACGGAGTCGAGATGGTTACAATGCGTGTGCAACGTGACCGCGTCGTGTGTACGCGTGTACAAGTGGTTCGATTCGTGTATGTATGAAAAGGAAAGCTACCCACGCTCGTGCTGACATGCTCGTTATTTTCGCTGTCCACCGACGACTGGCTGAAGAGCTTGCGTTCAGTGTTCATCGTTATCCTCTTCTTCCTCGGCTTCTGCCGATATCCCTCGATAACGTTTTATAAGCTGTCTAATCGCGTATCAATCCGGCTCCACGCATTCGAGTCCCATATCGATCGCTCACCACACTTCCCGATCGCGGCTACGAATTTGTCCAATTGGCGAGATTCCCTGTGTCGAGTCTGGAGGGGATCTCACTCGCTGGTTTTCAGATAGCAAACGAGATGGACAATTTGTTGATTATCTGAAGAGCTGACGGTTCGTTTTCAGCCGATTTTCCGATTCTAATGTCACTTTATGATTAAGAAAGATTTTAATACAAAGATTCTAATTAACCGATCAATTTACAGAAAGACTTAAATTCTGATCGAATTTTAGAGTACGAGTGAAATAAAAAAAAAAAAAATGTATAGAAAATACTATACTAGACTTATTGCGTTCGCGCAGAAGAGACAAATTACACCTGTCCGATATTCTAGCTTGTTTAAGTAAAATGGCCTAACCTCTCGTTAAAATATCCTATCTACTCTCGTTTTAATTACATCATCTTTCCCTTCAATTAAAAATGATTGATCGTTATTTCGCGACAGCCCTGAATTGCAAAACATTATCAGAGAACTTTAGACGTCTCGACACAAACCCAACAGAAATAGAAAAAAAAAAAAAGAAAAATGACGTTAGACAGAAGATGTCGGCAATATTGTTCACGCGATCTCGTTTACCTACTGCACCCATGTCCCACTAAAAATACCGCGAATCGTGTGAAAGTTATATCCGGTTACAGACGCGAAAGAGTTACTATATCGGAAAAAGCTAACGACGTGAGAAAAGGAGGTTTCCTTCGATCAGCAATTCCTCCCCCCCTCCCCCCTTCATCCCTTTTATCAGCGTTCATTTTATCCCGGCGCAGCTTTCATCCGCATAAACATTAGCGCGCCAACAGGAAACATATATTAATGAGAAGAATTAATCCCACAGAGAACTGGAGAATGTCGACGACGAGCCAGCTACCGAGCGGACTTTAAAGCGGAAAATCTGTCGCGAAAAAAGGAAAAATCGCACCGACGTGAATCGAAAAGAACGCAGCACCGAAACGTTTTCTAACGAAACAGAAAGAGAAGAAACGACGAATCCGCGTTTCAATGTTTGCGACCGAATCGCGAAACGAGAGTTCGTCTTGCGTCTGTTTGGGAGAATTTCGCTCGTAGAATGATTCAACAGTGCGGCTTTAAAAGCTCGGGCCGTACGTCCGGCAAGTTTTGGCGTTTCCATGTAGGAGCTTTCACACTTCGAGCTGGGATGATCGTACGTCGAACACGTCGTGCATGTACCACCGTTCTTCCACCGTTATATTTAGCCAGCTGACTCAGGGCCCCCTTCACGAGCTTGCAAGCTCCCCTTTCCGTCTCTCTCGCTCCTCCGCGCTTGTCCTTCTTTCCAACCGAGGAACGCGCCATTCCGTACGATTACCAAATCGATTACATTCGAGCGGACCCTAAAACCTGACTCTCGTACCTTTGTCTATATATATATATATACATAAATCTACAAAGGAAAAATTTTTCAGTGTATTAAAAAAAAAAGAAAAAGAATTATATTCACTTAGTGCGATAGGTACGCGCTGAATTATTACGAATATCACAAGATTATATATATATACGTATGTACTCGATTTTAAGTAAAAAAATTACGTCCTTCACGTGATATTTTCTTTGCTATTTGATTTTCAACAATTTACAAGCGATCAAAATTCAACGGGAACAAAGAAACGTAAATAATTGTCAACCTGACGGAGGGATTCTCGTATTTTCCGAACTGATTAACCATCGATGCCTAATTTGAATCAATCTTTAAACCACTCTGCAACTACTGCGAACTTCGTCGTCGTCCCAAGCGAAAAGCAGAGTTCTGCCGATATCCCATAATCAATAATTCAATAATATTCCCACGAACAGCGACGAGACGAAAGGTTGAGAAAGTAGAGCGCCGATATTAGTGGAGTAATAAGGGGTCCTTGGAAATCTTAGTATTGCAGTCCGTTTTTCACGCGATCTCAGATCGGAATAGGGAAAACGCGACATTGTAAAAACCAACGATTGGCCATGGCCGATGCAAAAATTCCGTTTAACGCGCGTTCCCTTCTCGATGGAATTCGAGAATTGCAATACCGTATGTTTCCATCGATACGTCGCAATATTTCCGTCTCGAACGACAGAGCTCAATCAACGAACTCTACTGCATCGACGAAGTTAATGGAATCCTACAAATCTGCTGATCCACATGAGAATAAGAAAGAAAGACAAACTTCTTTAAATATGCAATTTCCACAACTGTGCAAATAGAAACCTAAATATCTAACAAAGAGATTTTTAAATCCTTAATTATTCAAAAGGATAAAATTTCTTTTTTTTAATGTTACTATTAATCACGGATAACAAAGAAAAAGATAAGAATTTAGGTAGCTCGAACTAATTTT